GAGAACCTGCTCCCAGGGCTGGGCCATACCCGTGCCACAGTGTGGCCAGTGGAGACACCAGCACTGCCACCACCAGAGCTTGCAAACGAGAGCTGAAGGGGAGAGGTCTGGGGCTACAGATCCCCCGGCCCGGCTCCCCCTCCAGCTCAGAGCCTGCACCTGCCAGGCTGGGACCCGTTCCCTCCACCTCGTTGTCTTTGTCAGCAAACAGGTGGCTTGTGAGCTATTGTGAGGACATGTGCCCAAGGGCCTTATACTGGTGGGTGACACTCTGACAGATGGATTCCTTTTCCCCTTGTTTTTGTTAAATAGCTGGGCTTATTTAAGCACCATGTGAAATTCACTAAGTAAACGGTGAAAAAGGATGGAGGTTATTTGTTAGAGAGGAAAATGCGGCCCTTCAAGGACTTGAGAGGAAGCCCGGCCATGCATTGCACGACGCTGGGCTGCCTACACAGCATGCTCCTGGAGACATCCCGGCTGTCTTGGCTTGAGTAAGTCCCCAGCAGTGTCTCCTGATGGTGCGTTTCTCAGGACACGTCCCTGTTGTTCAGAGACACGATTGTATTTCAAGTATTAGGTGTGTTGAAAAGAGATTTCTGAATCCTCTCAGAGATGGTTCAGGAGGATCATGTGTCAGAATTTCCTCTGGAAGAACAAGCTCTAGACATTGGTAGACATTAGTGAGAGGTTGGTGTAATGAACCTTATCTCAGAGAAGCCAGCCAGACTGGGCCTGGGCCTGTTGTCAGGGTGTTGAAACTACCAAGCCAGTGTCCTGTCTCCATCTGGCTGTGGACCGTTGGCGTTCGCTGCTCTTTAACACGATTCCCTCCCTTTCTGGCCCCCTTCCTTCTTTCTCCCCTGTGTGCTCTCTTCTTCCTCATCTTGCCTCTGCATCAGGGATGCACAGAAGGCCCAGAACCTCACCTGGTCCTTCCAGAGATGGGGATGTGGGTGCATTTTCACAGGCTGCAGGTGATTCTGAAGTACACAGGCCCTTGAGCACCTGGTCTCTGGTGGAAGTGCCTGGCCTCCCCGCTGCTCTGTGGGCAAAGTGTCCACAGTTATATTGAAGGCTGATGCTGGGGATGATGGGGCAGAGGGTGGGTATAAAAGGCCCATGATAATGCAGGCCTGCTCTTTCAGTCATGGGGACAGGGAGAGGGTCATTATTGTGAAGTTTTGTGGTCAGCACAGTGGGCCATCAGGCAAGTTGGTGGGATGATCCCTGGACTTCTCGAAGCTGGGGACTGATACCTGCAGTGTGCTGGCCTTCTGTCACACCACTGAAGAGTAGGGGCTTCGAGCATGTTAGATGTTGATGGAGATGAGGGCTAGGCTTCTGGTTCACGAGGCCAAAAAAAAAAAAAAAAATCACATGGACGTGGACAGCTTCCTATTTGAGAAGGTTGTCGACATAAAGGGTTTGGGGCAGATTTCTTTTGCCCTTATCTGATTTTCAGTGACCCTGTGTGCAAAGCATACAGTTAAGTTCTGTGACATGCTCCTGTTCAGAGGGGGCTGCCCACGTAGGTAGCAGTCTGATGAAAGAGGGACTCCATTTTTGCCATTGCCACTGTGGTAGTAGTTTTCTATCACTATAACGATTACTCAAGATACCAGTTTATAAGAGGAAAGGGGTTATTTTGGCTCACAGTTTGGAGCTTTGGAATTTAAAATTGGTTGACGCCATTGCTTGGGTCTGTGTGAGGCAGCACATCACGATGGGAGCATGTGGCAGAGCCAAACTGCCCACTCATAGCAGGGACACCTTCAGAGATGAGTCCCCAGCGACTTCAAGACCTCATCTCTTAAAGGTTCCACCACCTTCCAACGGCTGGGGATCAGGACTTTAGTACATGGACCTTTGGGGCCACTTAAGCTCCAAATAATAGCTACATAAACTAGCATGCTTAATGTCTTCGAGGTAGGAGCCTCAATACTATACATGGATCATATTACAAAACCCAACATGATATACACTGTTTCACGGAGGAAGAGACTGAGGCTGAGGAAGAACTCTAAAAGTCATCCAAAAGTAATAGATTTGATGCAGACTGAGTTTTGAGCTGGCATCAGCCCAGTTTAGAAGCAGCCAGGTTTAACCAGCATAGAATTGTAAGTGGGCAAAGCATCATGTGGAATTTTGAATTTTTTTTTTTTTTTGCTGAAAAGAATAGATTTTATTTTGGACAACTTCAGACTATTTTCCCATTTCAAAGCTGGTGGTCCAAATCAGAAAGATCCCAGTCCTGCCTGGCTTTCTGACGTCCACTGCAACAAGGGGTGGTGTGATAATTGCTGCGGGAGTTCTGTTATCGACCAGCTCTGAGTATGGATTACCTGGTTCTGTTGGACCCAGAGAGACCCAGGGAGTGTGTCCTGCCAGGGCTGAGATGTACTCAGTGCTGGTGGATGTGGGCTGGCAGGCTCTTGGCAGTTGTGACTTCCTGTGTTCGAGATAAAAGATCTACAGAGATTTATTAGGACAGTTCAGAAGGCTTTGGTGGACTGTCCCACACAGCTTAGCCAAACACTTCAATCATTTAATTGCAAATGGATTTGAACCATATGGGATGTGCACTTAAAAGAGGGTTACCAGATGATCTACAAAAGATGCTTGACAGTATATGTTACTCAGAATAATAAAGGGAATTTTCAAAAGTACTTGAAAAAAATGAGGTTGGTTTTCTAAACACAAGGATTTGAAAGAGGGGATTTTGTTTAGAGGGATCGCAGTTTGCTCCCGTTTGTGTTTTTACCCAGACTGCATGAGCTGCCTGGGGTCATGGGTCAGTTCAGGGTGGGGGTCAGGGAATCCTTGGCGAGAGCCCCTCTCCTGTCCTTGGCTACCTGCTTGGGACAGCATCTGGTTCATCATGTTCCATGCCTTCCATGCAAGGTGGTGGGTTACACTCCGCAGGGAGCCTGGGTTCACATCGGTGAGCAGAAGGGGCTGGGTGGCCAGTGGAAGGACACACGGGGTGAGGACTGAACTTAAATGGAAGGGGTATCGTTAAGAGGGGACACATTGGGATCAGAATGGTGGCATTCGCATCCCTGCTTGGCACTAAAGAGCTTTGTGACCTCAGGTCAGCTGCTTCTCCTCTGGGGTCCTCAGTTTTCTCCTGGGGATGAGGCTACCTTTTCTACTTTCCTTAGTACTGTTCTAAGGAAGCAGAGCCTCCTACAAACTGTTGGGGTCCATGTGAAATTGACTGTGTTGGGGTGTCGGAACTAGCTCAACCCTGTTCCCCTGCATGGTTCGGCGTCCTGGCCCCATCCTTGGACCCCAGAGTGGAGTTGTTAGGCACGGGCTGGTTCCTGGGGTCAGGGACCCGCACTGAGTGATTGGCAAGCTGCTGTCCCTGCCACTGGGCTGTGTGGCTCATGTTTGGTGGGTCTGGTGGGCTTCAGGACAGAGCCCCAGGCTGGGCACATCAGCAACAAGCTTACACCATCTGGGTCATACCAGCTCCTTGTCCTTGGAACTTGATGCCTTCTTCCAAAGGAGCTCTATCCCTGTTGGAAGTTCCAAGGGACATTTTGCTTTTTACTGCTCCCGCCCCCCTCAGCTGTTTACTGTGGAGAGTCAGGGGTTACTGAGTCAGAATCTGATTTTCCTGAGCAGAGACTCCCCAAAGCCTAGTGGTCCCAGGAACACTATGCCCACTGCTACATGCTTGGCTGGAGAGGACACAGGACTGGCACAGAACTGCAGGAGTGCCATCTTTGTGCAGCAACTTATTTTCTAGTTGACACATAAGACCCAGGTAGTGTTTCCTTTTGCTGGACTACACTATTGGATTAAAAGCAAATGCTTTAAAATAGTTACTGTTTTGTATATTTGGCGAAATATTTATTGGCCATTACATGGTAGTCTCTTAGTAGGGGAGTCCAGAGACCAGTCAAGCAATTCCAGCTGATCTACCCAAGGACACTCCTTGATTAAGTTCACATTGTTGGAGCCAGGTGTCTGGCAGAACAACCCTTTGCAATGGCTACTTGTTTATGTATTATTGAGCTCCAATAACTCATGACATTAGTTTTGGTTTTTATGTCTTAGTTTAGCTGAGAATTTTCCAGATTAACAAGATTAGTCAGAATTGATGATGGGGTTAATGCACTTAGCAGAAGAAGAATACTTGGAAAGTAACTGCTCACACAGTTAAAAAGATGGTTTCTAGCCTCCCCAGGGCTCGAATGTGGTCCACTGTTAGAAATGGGCAATGTGGTACACTCGTGATCCATGACGCTTGTTCCCAGATACATCAGCTCTGCCTTGATGTGGAAAGAAGACTTTAAGCACTGAGTGGTAGCCACTGGGCATGTTCCTTTGAGAGTACACAGTGAGAGTGTTTCTTGAGATGAGGCCGATCGGCCAGAGGATTTCATGAAACTGATTAATTTCACAAGAAAATGACAGATGCTGAGGACAGCAGCAATGATGTGGCCTGTCCAGGGCTTTCCTGGAGGGATAGGACTCACATGTGGGAGAAAAATTAAGACCCCAAACAAATCAGTTAGCATTTGGCTGTTAGTCGTTGGTTGCTAAGGCAGGGAACCCTGACTTTTCAACATTACAGTGTAACAGCTTTATGGAAGACAGTTATAAATTGCACATAATGGGTCTCTGCCATGTTTTTACATTGACCTTTAGCGCTTGCCAGAGAATATATAGCTTTGGCCTAAGAGGACAAAAGGAAATAGAAGAAAGGAGACACTGTGAGGCGTCCAAGGCTTCTGGCCGGCTGCCTCTCCGCGTGGCACTGTTTTGGTTTTTGTTCTTAAGCTCTCTTGGTGTGAGAGGCAGGGAGGAACTTACAAAGGGAGTGCTGATACCCTTGGGGGAAAGGTGGTCTTTCCAGAATCTCTTACCCCAAAAAGGTCTGTTAGGCCCCGCTGCGAACTGCTAAGGTGCCACGTTTGCAGAGACTCCACCCCACCATGGTGGACCTGGCTACTGTTTAATGGTTTCTATGTCATGTCCTCTTTAAGAGAAGGAAGCGCCCAACAAGCCCCTACGTGTGCGCGTCCGGTCCTCAGACGACAGGCTGTCTGTGGCGTGGAAGGCGCCGCGCCTGTCTGGAGCCAAGAGTCCACGCAGATCTCGGGGTTTTCTTCTGGGCTACGGGGAGAGTGGCCGGAAGATGAATTATGTTCCACTGACCAGAGACGAGCGGACACACGAAATCAAGAAGCTCGGTGAGTTTACCGTGGACGGATGCTCAGCGCCCCGACGGTCTTTGTGTTTGTTTCAATACTCAGAAGCCGGTGAGGGACAGAACAGTATTTCAAGTGTGAGGCTCATTTTCCAGCTATGACAGTGGCTTGAAGTTATCCCTTTGCTCCATCCGCTGTCCCAGCCGCCATCATTTTGACCTCAATGATGACACCAGGCTGTCTTCTAAGGCAGCTTCCTCCAGTCAGGCTGCTTTTCTGCACGAGGGGAGGGGCTGTTGCTTTCCTCATCTTGACTGTGTTCATCCCTGTTGTCTTTGAAATTTTGTCCTCGATCACGATGGAATGTTGTGCCAGCCCTTATCTCTTCCCAAGCCCTGTACTGGGTAGAGGAAGTCCAGCTGTGGCCCTCAGGCTGCATCTGCGGGGACTGGAGACCCTATGTGCACAGCCAGGCTGGAGGGGTCCTGAGCTTTGCTGGCTGTATTTATGACAGGCCTGGACAGCGGATGCCGGCCACACTCCAAGAGGGAACTGCGGCTTCCTTGCCTGTGGAGACAGGGCTGCTCCTGCTCCTTCTCCTCCCCTGCCTCTCTGCCCACTTCCACCTGATGAATGGGAAGGAGCATTGGGTGGATGCTGCTGCTGCTGGGACCCTTCACGTCTCGTCCTCTTGGAGGAAGCCCAGCAATAAAGGATACATTCAAAGTCTTTCGTTTGTCCTTAGCAAATCTTTAAGGATTTTGTCCTCGAAGGGCACAGCCTCCCGCCGTTCAGAGAGATGTTCTGGCTGTTAACCCGGCTTGTCAGTTGTTCCTTTTCTTCTCCCTTCTTTTTGGACAGATAAAAACAGTGACTCCCTCTTCTGTCTTTTGGAAGTTAAAAGCAATTGGGGGAATTATGTGGGTAAATGTGCTTTTCATTTTTCTAAGCATAGTTTACCTCTCTTTCATCCTGATAATAAGCTAGAAATTCACTTTTCAGGAGTTAAAAGTAAAAATCCCATTTTCTAACATAATAGTGTTCCTTTTGAGATTACTTCCTACACTTGGTGGGCTCCTGGTTAGTTGTCCTGAAGAGGAGGGAAAGCCCCTGGAAGGTGGAATGGAATGGAGGGAACGGGGGGAATGCACGGGTGCTCCAGAGACGTCCAGCCGGCCTCAGGCCTTGCTGTTTGGTTCACAGCCTCGGAATCCGTGTACGTGGTCTCCCTGCAGTCCATGAACTCCCAGGGCCGGAGTCAGCCAGTCTATAGGGCTGCCCTCACGAAGCGCAAGATCTCAGGTATGTTTCCCAGAATGCCTTTGGTGACACCAAAGTCTAGTGTGAATGCTGACTTGTTTTCACATGATGCTGGCTGTGATGAATTCCGTAAATTTCATGGAGGATAAGGCAAACAAGAGGGCAGAGTTAGTTGCATTGGGGGTATAAGCATATGTCCTTCCTATGCGGAGGCTGGAGAGTTCATGTGATAAAGTCGGTTTCACTGTGCATTCTCTATGGCTTCCTGGTGCAGTAGCTCTGCCATGATAGCAGGGGGCAAGCTTTACACCATGTGAAGGCAGAATCAGATCCATGCATAAGTGGCCCCTGGGAGACACTGAATAAAGTGCAAGAAATAACATCCTCTGATGTTAACACTCGTTAACATCAGCTAACCATGCGTAGAAATGGCGTGGAGAGGAGTGAGGAAAACTTGTCTTCAGGGTTTGCTGATAGCCTGATTGATGTCCCTTTACTAAGGAATATTTCTTCCCATGTACAACACAGTTATTTTTCATATTACTCATGTACTGACATGAGTAATATGAAAGTGATATGAGGGTATAAACCTTTTCTGGGTCAGGTGCCTTCACATGAAGAGACAATCTGCAACACATAGCTTTCTTTTCTAAAAATTCGTAATGTAAAATGAAATCTGTTATACTTTTTTATGTTGTATAAAGAAGTTCCATAAATAACAGTGTTTTACTTTCATTATTTAGTAATTGCTACCATACAAAAAGCCCCTTTATTACTCTTTAATAATGTTAAATATTTCCACCTTCCCCTAGTTAGGTAAAATGAAACACGGTTCCTGTAAAATGAAGAGAAAAAACAAAAAATAAACATAAAGCTCAAGAGATTATAATGCCAAATCGAAGACATCTATGAATATTAATTTGTTTGAGATTGAACTATTTGCTTGGTGACTATGGTATCTACTGACAATAAAGATAAATATTTGTAAGAAATTGGCAAACTGAATTCTTATACAGATATAAATTTGAGTCTGTCTTGCAATCACATATTCTAACATGTATGGACTTTGAGCCCCATGTGATTGTTAGAGCTGTCTGAACCAGTTTTCTCTTCTTGTCATTATCCCCAAGAAAATGCAAGTTGAGTTTTTCTTCCCCTAAATTTTTGCTTTCCATAAAGTTGTTGACTATTCCAGGGAATAAGGAGCGACAATGAGTTACTTGGAGAGCCTTCCACCAAGGCAAAGCATCCCTTTTGCCCGATTCTGTATGTTGATTGGGTTGGGCTGCTTTGAAATTGAAAGGCCCATTTCTTAGCTGTGTTCAAGAACAGCAATGGTGGAGATTTTTGTTATTCTACACTAACCATTGAAATGATTTCTTAAATCTATTTGTTTCATTTTGTCTAATTCAAGCATAGATAATAAAAGCCATACAGGGTGAATCATAGGCTCTGGCCAGAGGAGCTCGAGGCAGAGCCTCTGGTTAGAGATGGCCTTTGGTGTGCCCCGTGTCTTTTCAGAAGAGGACGAGCTGGATGTGCCCAAAGACATCAGTGTCCGAGTCATGTCATCCCAGTCGGTGCTTGTGGCCTGGGTGGATCCTCTCTTGGAAAAGCAGAAGAAAGTTGTTGCATCAAGGTATTTTTGCAAGTTCCTTTAAGTATGAGAAATGTGGGTTTCCCCTGAAAAGGCATGTGGCTGAATGGTAGAATATTCCATGGCGATCAAGGCTCTGAAGCTACCAGGGCCTTGTGGAAGCCACAGGGCAAGACCTCCCATCTTACTTGCTCAGGAGTTTTATCTTGGGCCTGGAATTTTCCTGGATTCCATTTTTTCCTTGGCCCCTGGTTGGGTTTTGTTTCATCTCATTGCTGTTCTGTTCATGGGCAGCCTCTGCCTTGGGAGGAGCTTACTGATGGGTGGCAGTGAGGTAGGTTTTTATGTAGGATTTAGAGTGTAGGATTTTGTATAATACCTTAGCAGCTGCTCAACTGCTTCCCATCCATGCATAGCAAAGCATATCTTACTTTCTATTAGACCATGATGAAATGCTATTCTGATTATTGTGTTCATTTGTAAAAGCAATGAAAGAAAAATCAATTGTAAGGTCAAACTCATTTTTTATGTTAAAAGGCCTCTAGTGAATATAGCCATCAAATTTTTGTGTGTTCATTGGCCAAATGCATATTATATATAACCAAGAGAAAGTAAAAAATTTGGTGACTTAGTTATTATGTATTCAATTTTGAAACTATCAGCACCCAGGAAAGGGCAATATATTTTTAAATGAATGGAATATACTGCTGAGATTACATATGTATATATGTATATGTATCTATAAATATATGTATGTATAAGTTATATACATATACACACATAGATACATAAAAGTCAACATTCATATATGTGTACATATAGTTATTCCTGTTAAATTTATGGCTTCCTTGAATATCTGCTGGTTAAAAAGACATCTGCTTCCTTTGAAAGACCTCAGGAGGTTCATAGTGTTCTCTCTAGCCCTACGGCCCTCCCCAGCACCAACTGTCCTGATTACCATTGGGCTTTGGTTTCACCATTCTGCTGAAAAGCAGCAGGTGTGAGTTCTCTTAGCAGAACTGCTTTGATGATTGGCGTGCCATGCTGGCAACTGAAGATTTTGCCTGACTTATTAAACATAATGAATAGCACGTTCGTAATGCTTTCTAGTGCAAAGAGGCTGCAAAGAAAATCTCTATAGAAAGGAATCCCGTAAGCAGTGCAGGCCACTCTCAGAGTGCTGAGGATGTGTGCTGTTTGGGTTTTGAGCACTTCCAGGTTCACTCACACCACGATTCTCTCCCTGGAACACACACCAGAGTATAAGCTCCTCTGTCTTGCTCTATTTGTTACACATTTTTGCCCCATTTCATGGTAATAAGTCTACTCAAAGCCACATGTTCTCTCTCCTCCTGGATATATAGGAAACATGCCTGTTGTCTCATGAAATGAGTCTTTTTAGTCTTTCTTTTCTGGAGAGCTGGAATACTTGGGCTGGTTCTGGTCCTCAGTGTTGTCCCTCTGTTCAGCGTGTGTGTGCGTGTGCACACACACATATACACACTAACACACACCTGATAAGGTGGTTGCCTCATAAAATCTGCCCCCTTCCATCCCTTCCCTTTCTGATCTCTGCTTGCTCTTTTGAGCATCATGCTCCATCTTTCCTGGTCTATTTTAGACACCTTTGCTTGGAACTTAAGTGGATTCTTTGAGCTAATAACAGTCAAAAATTCAGATTTTTCTCTTCTTTGATTTCCCTAGTTACCTCCAAAAGTTATTACTTATGGGGAAGGAAAAAAAGCAAGGACTCTAGTGTTGAGCTGCAGAGACTCTGGTCAGCTGGCTGCACTGGTGCATTGCGTTTTCTCATAGACAGTACACCGTGCGCTATCGAGAGAAGGGGGAATCGGCCAGGTGGGATTACAAGCAGATCGCCAACAGGCGCGTGCTGATCGAGAGCCTGATCCCAGATACCGTGTATGAATTTGCAGTCCGTATCTCCCAGGGTGAAAGAGATGGCAAATGGAGTACATCTGTCTTCCAAAGAACACCGGAATCTGGTCTGTATTTGAAACAGCCTTCGATTTTCTATTTGGGAATAGCTCCTAAAATAAGATTTAGACAGTGGTGACAAAGACCAGCATGGGCATTCTTTTTTACAGTCATATTAACCCTAAATCTTAGTAGTATTTCTACTTATAAATGCAAAGAAGTTCGGATTAGTGTTAGGGTTTGAGTAAAAAAAGAATCTAAAAAAGAGAAAGTCCCAGAAGTTAAGGGGCTGTTCCTTACACCCACGTTTTGTCCTCTGCTGTCCTTTTCTGCTGGCATGTTGTCCTGACACCTGGAGCACATGAAGTGCCAGTGTCTGGCAGCCATCGTCACCGTCATGTGTGAGGATGCCCAAGGTGCTGCCTGGTTCTTGATGTAGGCGGAGACATTCTTTATTACTGGGGCTGAGCCTGTATTTGAATCCAGGGGTGGATTTTGCTGTGTATCCAAGGCTATGGTACATTTCTTTTCAATGTTGTCCTAAAAGTTGTATTAAAAGAAGTTGGAACTGGATTTTAATCTTTTTTGTATATTTCAATATTGAGCCATGCGAGAATTCTGAATTCCTGAAAGCACGTCTTAGATAAGTCTAAATTCACTGTGGGTAGAAGTGACGTAAGTCGCTCTACTCCACAAAGAGCATGTGTCGACATCTCTCTCTTGTGTCCCCGACTCACACACGGGAACTCTTTGTTAAGCAGTGTGTACCCAGGGACTGTGTGCCCTTGACTTTTAGGATATCCGTTCGCATCGTAAAATGTCTGATTCCTTGTAGCTCCGACCACTGCTCCTGAAAACCTGAATGTGTGGCCTGTGAATGGCAAACCTACGGTTGTCACCGTGTCCTGGGATGCGCTGCCGGAGACTGAGGGAAGAGTGAAAGGTAGGGACCTCGTCCCCCCCTCGCTAAGTTGTGTTGACTGATGGACACTGCCTCAGATCACAGCTTTGGTGACTGAAAAAGAAATAGGAACGCAAGGGGTACAAGAGGTGCTAACTCCAGGGGCAAAGATGTTTCAGGAGGGATTTTTGTTTTCTGCAATCCAAGTAGCTATGAAGGGGATTATTCTTCTCTTCTTCCTGGAAGCAGCTTTTCGGTGTTGCCCTCAGCAGGGATGCGTTTCATTGCATGTGTCTGACGTCATGACTTTTGCCCATCCTAACAACATATTTTTTTCCCCCATGCTACAAGCTTTTCATTGTGCAGAAAGATTATGAATGTAGGAGTCACTGGGAGACCCTTTAAAAGGACTGTGAAAGATTTTAATGGATTTGAAAAATTTAAGTAGTAAATTCTGAAAAATGGATTAATTCCTTGTTTTTCATTTTTTTAGTTCGAGAAATGAAATACACAGGTCTTTTGGTTCAATGTAAAAAGCATTCCAGAAACTTGCAGAAGTGTGGAGAACTTTAGAACCACGTTGGGGTTTTCCAGACGTTGCCTATACAAATGCACCACACACAGGGAGAGAATGAAATTTTTATTCAAGAAAAGAATATATATATATTTTGTTGCTACTAAGGTTTGGAAGCCAACTTTCTAATATGTCCAGAAACTATGAAAAGTTGGTGTAAGTTTTAAAAATCCAGAAAACGACCATCAATTTCTTTTGAGAATTTAGTAGAAAATAGGAACTAGTTCTTAGAATGATTGATCATAACAATCCTGTAGGACATGGAGGGTGTCTTTTTATGGGACAGTAAAGTTAAGGGAGGTCCATGCAGAAGGGTGTTTTCTATACTCAATGCACTATCAAGTTCCAGTTTTTTTTTTTAAAAAAAAGATTATACTATCCTTCCTCATTCTGCCCACTGGAATAAATCAGAGAGAGTAAAGAGAATAAATGTTTAGTTGTGTTTTTATGGCCTTGTTTTTATGACAAGCAAGATATTAGTTCCCTGGAGCTGCTGAAAAGGCCTATGAAGCGGAATACAAACAGCTTTTGGCTGACTACTTTTTTAGTTCTAAAAAGGACAAGTATTGGTCCTCTTGTGAATCATCACCATGCTGCCCATGTCCTAGTTTATATTCACAGCTTCTCAGTGAAAGAAGCTCCTGGTCATCAACTAAATATTGCGGGAAAGATTAATAGCCACTGAGTTTTTCTATGATAAAGAATGCATGTATCTTAATTCTACCTAGTTTTCACGAGGGTGTTGTGATGGATTGAAATTCATAGTTATATTTGCATAAGAAACATAAATCACAATAGGAGACTATATGCTTTGGCATGGTTACATATTTTTTTTCCAGACACATTGAATCCATTAAAAAATTTTGAATTACAAAATTTAATAGACAGTAAGTCCTCTTGATTCTTAGTTTTGACCACCGCAAATGACTAGTGTGCTATTTTCAATGAGAAAAGAATGCCCTTTTTCCAGACAAATGCTGTGAAAGCATTCTTAGTTGAAAGTTTTAAAATTCATGTACTTTCTGGAGATTAGAGCTTAGGAAAAAGAAAGGCTCTCCCATGCTCCTGATAATTGCTTGAGGTTTTCTGTCCTTCAAGTTAATTTTTTTAGTTAAGTCATACTCAAATGAATTTGAAAAGTTTTGTGAATCCCAAGTTCCATGAGATTAAAATAGCATAATACTTTTCAGTTAAAGGTTAAAATTATGCTTTTTCAAATATGACTTCATATGTTACAGTTGTTCCATGGGAAAAGATCTTTTAGTTTGGCTTTCAAGGTTCAGGCCTGATACATGTAGCTAATTAATGATGGAAACATTAGACATCACATAAATCTATTACTTAGTAACTTTTCTTCACAGTTTAAAATTCTGTGAAACATCCTACCAGCATATATTGAATAAGAATTTTTATCATTCCTCTAAAAGTGAATTATATTCTAAATATGGAAATTGTCTGGCTTAACATACTAGTAAAGGTACCACAAGTTGGTAAACTGAAACTCTGAAAGATGTCAACAATTACACAGAAAGAATTCCTAGCAGATGACACCTGGTTTTGTTTTGTTTCTCTATTCAAGATAAGCCAACCCATCATAGCTAGTTAGTAAATAAATATTTTTTAAAAACACTGTCAATATTTCTGATATATATTTTGAAGACTGGCATCCTGGTTTGTCTGACACAGCACATAGCCAGTTCATGAACTGAGTAGCGCTGTTTGGTGCTGAGTGGGTGTGAGTTCACCTTCTGCTGCATCCTCTGCTCCCGCCATTGACTTGGCGTGCATTGCTAGCATGTTAATTTTTAGTAATGCACGTTCTAATTCATCCTGCCCATACAGTCTGTCTGCTGGACACAGGACTGTTTTCAGTTTCCTCCTTCCAACCGTCTGCCAAATCATTTCAGAATACATTCTTTCATACGCCCCGGCTCTCAAACCATTTGGAGCAAAGTCCCTCACCTACTCTGGACACACTACTTCTGCCCTGGTGGATGGTCTGCAGCCTGGGGAACGCTATCTGTTCAAAATCCGGGCGGCAAACAGGAGAGGCCCGGGGCCACACTCCAAAGCCTTCATTGTCACTATGCCAACAAGTAAGCACCGTGTGTCGCGGCTCTCTCTCTCTCTCTCTCTCTCTGTTCTGCTACTTGTTTTGTGTTACTTTGAATCATGCTTCTAGGTTTAGAACTGCATGGTTGATGATTATTTTGAGGGGGAGGGGGTCAGGTTTGCATATCAACTTCTAAAATTTCTTTCTGGTTCTTTTGGAAATTAATTTTCCCAAAGACTAAAATGCTTTTGATTGATTTTAATGTTAATAATTATTACAGTATCATCAATGTATGAATTATACCATTAATTTTACATCATGGTTTAACTTGAGGCTTATGTTGACTGGGAAAGAACATTTTTGCAAGTGCAATGTGACATTTTTCATTGCTAGCCTCTCCTGCAGAGCATTTTGCAATTTCAGATTGTACTCCATTAGTTTGGAGTGTAGCTTCACCCAGGAGGATTTCAGTTGTCCGGTTTATCTAATCAGTTGTCCAGTTATCTAATCAAAACCAACAAATTCATAAAGATCCCCAAATAGACTGGACTGCTTTGGGAACATGTTTTCTGTTTTGTTCCTCCACATACAGGCTAGATTCCAGAGCTCCCTCCTTCATTATGTGCTATGAGGATTCATGGTGTGCAGCCATTATTAGTGTTATCCTAGGACAAACTGTGAAATAGATGAATCTCTCAGTGCCTACCACACTGCAATATAAATTTCCTGCCCATTATAGCATCCCTTCCTCTGTGGATCCTTCTCCCAGTGCAAAGACAATTGTAGGGAATGTTGCCTACCTCGGGAGTCTTTTCATTTTAAATTTTATTTTGGAATTATAAATGTATCCATTGTGAAAGGAATTTTAAGCAAGAAGGAGGAAGCACAGGGAACTCTTTGTAATGCCTCAAAAATGGCAAATTTGTTCCTCACCCCAGTCACTTGCAAGTTACTCACATACATTCCCATATAATTTTGAGTATAAATCACTCAGCTTTTGTATCTGGGTTATATATATATATTTTTGCTTATGAAGAACACCTATAATATTTTTGTACTATATGGACAATAAGTTATTTTAAGAAAATCCTACATCAAAATTTGCATTTATAAGATCAATAAATTATAGCTATACCTTAGTAATTTGGGGGCATTAGTTACAGGACCCCCCCCCCACCGCCAAAGGACGCCAAAATCTGCAGATGTTCAAGTGCCTTACATAAAACAGCATAGTATTTGCATATAACATAGACACATCCACCCATATACTTTACTCCAAACATTTTTTATCAAAGTTGACTGAATCTGTAGATGCAGAACTCATGAATATGGAGGACTGACTATATTTCAAAGTACTTATTTCAAAATTCCTGCAGATAAGAAGTTGTAAGATAACATGATTTAATGTATAGATGCAATTCTCATATATTTTCTAGGACTACATCTGTTACTTAGAGCAAAATATGATTTTTAAAAAAATAATATTATAATTGGAAAAATAAGTTTCCAGTATTCTAAGGAACTAGAGGTGACCAATTATGATCACAATGTGGATCACCTGCATACTACCATCTTAGTTACTCCCTTTGTTTCATACAGTTTTTGGAAAAAAAAAATTAACATCAATTCTTTAAAATCTGTTACAGCCAGCACTAGTGAGTCTGATGTTCAGCAGAACACCAATGATAACTGGAAACCCAAGAAACCGGAGCCTTCCTCACCTTCTCCCAAAGATCCAGGCAGAAATGTCAAGGACCCTCTCCTTGACTTGAAGAACAAAATACTGGCCAATGGCGGGCCGCCCAGAAAACCCCAGCTCCGCCCTTGGAAGACTGAAGAGTCAGATCGGCAGTCCACGGAGGTCACCGATGAGGAGGAGCTGGATTCCCTGGAAAACCCACCCAAGTTGCCTTCAGAGACCCAAGACCAGAGGCGAGCCCTAAGGCCACCAAGTAGATCTGGCCAGTGGCTTCCAGGCAGGACTCCAGCCAGAGCCCGAATGCCACTGCTGCCCCGGAAGGAAGGCTTAGATAAGCGTGGCCCCTCATTGGCCACCCATCCTCGCCCAGCAGCTACCCCCTCTGCGGAGTCCTATCCTGGCCACCACCAGGCCCCCCAGGGGCCCTCTCCCCACCCTGCTGGGGGACCCTCTGACAGCTCTATTGACAATGACTCGGTGGACCAAGATGAGGACAAGCAAGCTGAAGGCCCTCTCTACCCCAAGGCTGCCTCACCCCAGCAGCCGCCTTCTAAGAACCCAGCCCAGGCTCGTCCGGCCCTGTTCCCCAGCCGCCAGGGGGCCTCCAGCATCCTGAGGGACAGAAGCCCAGTACACAACGGTGCAAAACCAGTCTTCCCTGCACGAAGGACGTCCCAGTCTGGGGCCATGGAGGAAGATTCCAGAGCTCCAGCCCCACCCTCGAGACTTTCCCCACCCCACAGAGGCTCATCTCGCCTACTGCCCACCCAACCTCACCCGGGTCCCCCTCTCTCCAGGGGCTGGAAGGATGTTAATGGTCAGGAGTCCCCTGCCACCAATTACCATGCATCCTCACAGTCTACCCTGTCTTCCTCGGTCTCTTCTCCTCTCTCTTCCAGGACACAGGTCTCTGAGGAAGTGGACACTTCTGATGACTGGGGAGATGGTGACCGGACCACAGAAAACACTGGGAGGCAGGCAGAGGCCACCACCCCAAGCTTGAGGGCCCGACCTGCCTCTGGACCCCTGAGTTTGCTCCGGAACAAGGCCTTTGCCTCCAATGGCAGGTCTTCAAACAGGCTGACCAATAGCCGGGGACCACGACTGCAGCCCTCTACCTCCCCGCAGTCCACCATGGCTTCCCGAGTCCCCTCCAGGGGTCGTTCCCAGCCAGCTTCCCACTCTAGACTTGGCTCAGATATCCATGGAGAGGGGGAGGATGAGAAGCCACTTCCAGCCACTGTGGGCAACGATCACGTGCCCTCCTCCAGGCAGCCCACCTCTCGAGGCTGGGACTCTCTAAGAAGAGACCCCCAGAGAGGAACCAGCCTGTACCGGAAGGAGCTCACCCCTGAAATCCCCAAATCTGCGACAGATGCACATCCTCAGGGCAAATCCTCCTCTCTGTCCTCTAAGGCACAGGACGTTCAACAGAGCACGGACGTGGACGCCGACGGTCATTCTCCCAAAACGCAGCCAGTGGTCACGGGCCGCCAACTGTCCCCTGCTCGTCCTCCCGCAGCAAGGTGGCAGCCCTACCCTGGGTCCAGTGTTCCTAGAAGGACGGCACCTGACCGCGCCTACGAAAAGCAGCCCCCTCCACCCGTCTCCCCGCCCCGGCACCAGTCCCCCAGCCCCCAGAGCCAGGACGCAGACCGGTCACTTTCCCAGCCCAAGCTCGCCCTTGCCCATGCAGGGCGTCCTCGCCCCACATCGCAGGGCGGCGCCCACTCCATCTCAGACCCTTACACAGCGAGCTCCCGAGGGGTGCTGCGCCCGGCTGCCCAGGGCCAGGACGGGGACTCCCAGAACAGCTACGAGGACAACAGCACCGAAGTCGAGGCCCCGGATGTCCAGGTCCCCCCCGACACTGCCCGCACGAAGGATGCCACCCCGTCCCTGTCCAAGCACCGTCAGGTGGCGTCTTCCACAGGGAAAGGTGACGACAAACCCCAGCGTGGCCCCACAGGCTTCACTCTGCGACCCAGCCGGCCAGGCGGCCCCCACTCCCGCGCCCGGGCCCCTGGCAGGGCCGGGGTCCAGGCCACACCCGGGAAGAAAGAGCCTCCTTCCAAGTGGCCCTTGCAGTCCAAGTCTCAGCAGTCAGTGTCCGCCGAGGAGGAGGACGAGGAAGAGGAGGACGCGGGATTTTTAAAAGGAGGAAAGGAGGATCCCCTGTCTCCCTCTGTTCCAAAGTGGCCTTATTCCTCTACCCCCAGGGGCAGCAAATATGCGGACGGGAGCCTTGCCAAGGACAGGACTGCCATGGTGCTGGCTCCCCGAGGAGGGAGCTCTGCGCAGGAAGAGCACCCCACTCCTGGGAAGCGACCTCCTCTCCCACCTCTGGGAAGTCCCCCCAGAGTGGCACACCTCCCCACCAGACAACCGCCGCGCGGCTCTGCCACCCCGAGTCTCGTCCTGAGCACCCAGTCCTGGCCGCGGTACACCACTCGCGCTCCTCCCAGCTACTCCTCCACCACCCCAATGCTCTCCTTGCGCCAGCGCATGCAGCGCAGATTCCGCACCCCTGTCTCGCGCCAGCCTCCGAGACCTCCTCAAGTGCAAGGTAACTGGTTTTTGAAAACAGCCATTTAACTTTTTTTTTTTTCTCCTTTTTAAGGTAGTCAGTAGTTTTCTTGGCTATTCCTAAGAATGATTTACTTTATTGTATTGAGCCTCTACTATGTGCAAGCACTGTGTTTAGAGATTTGCACGTACAAATGTAATGTCATCCCTTTAAGTCTGTTAGGTTTTGCATTGTTACCCCCTTTCTTTACATAAGGAAGCCAGGGCTCAGGGATTAGAGGCAGACCTGCCATGATACTGTCTGAGATGCAGTTATAGCCCCAGACACTAATTCCACTGCTCTCTGTTATTCTACAATTCCATACTACTTATTGAATCCCTTAACAGATGCTCTTTTTGCGGGGAGAGTGTGGGGTACCAGGGATTGAGCTTAGGGGCACTCCACCACTGAGCCACATCCCAGCCCTATTTTATATTTTATTTAGAGACAGGGTCTCACTGAGTTACTTAGTGCCTCACTTTTTGCTGAGGCTGGCTTTAAACCTGTGATCCTTCTGTCTCAGCCTTCCAAGCTGCTGGGATTACAGACATGTGTCACCACGCCCAGCCTTAACAGATGCTCTTAATCTGTGAAAACATGTCACAACCCTGATGTTCTTTTCAGTTCACTTGCCAGCATGTATTTAAGGAATCAGCAGTAACAAATTAGATATGTAGGTAGGCTTGTCTTGTTCTTCTCTTCTGCATACAAAATTCCCAACCATACTCTGGGACAAATTCAAATGTCTAGCATATGAGGTGCCCTGATGTTGCCATTGGTGAATGTTGGCTAAAACATCCTTAAAATGAGGGTTAAAGATAATTGTCACACACAAGCATCAGACAGATGTTTGCCTTGTACTTCCCTAGCATAGGCTGAAATGTAGCTAGCTTTGAAGCCTAAGTGGGACCCCAGAGCAGGATCTAAATTACTTACCATAAATTTGCATTCAACTTTCAGTTAATCCTGAACTCTCCTTGCATGTAATTGGAACTTCATCAAACTTTCATGAAGTTTCATAATAAATATATTAGTATTTATTAATCCATATGATGCAGTGTCATTTTAGCCTAATGCAAAGATGGAACAATGTACCACATCAAGGGCAATTTCACATGAAGACTGATTATTTTAATTAAAGCTAAAACCCTGATAATAGATGTAAGCTCATCATTCCCTGTACATAGTAGGAACTTGTTCAGTAATTGATGGGTAAATGGAAGAGTGAAAGAAATATGTCTCTGACCTGAAAATAGTTGTCAGAAAGCCTACACACTTTCTCCAGCAGGTGAGGCAGGACCTCAGAGCACTCCCCCCCTGAGCCTCAGGTAGACTGCTGTAGAGGAGCCACATAATGTCCAGGGCTGCCCCTCTTGCTTGCTCTCTTAGGAAGTCTTTCCCAAGCAGCCCACAGGGTTCAGCAAGCTTGGAGTCAGCATTGCACATTTATTCTTGGCTGCTGCTGATTGGCACCTGATTCAGCCAGAAATAGTAATTTTGCTTGGTCTAAAATGCTGAGAAAAGCAGGACAGCACATAGTACACTTCAGAGATAATTTTCCCCATCCTTCCAACCACCCTTTTCCCTCCAACTTCTTAAGCTTAAGGTCTTAAGCTTTATATGGCAACGCTACTTAAGTGGCATTTTCTTATTTTCATCCCCAGTACTTTTGTAGACTTTCTTATTTATCATGTAGAAGTCACAGTATAAGATTACTGTTATCTAATATACAGAAGCTATCGGTTTAAAACTCTGTTCAATGTTTGTTTGAAATGATGTGTTACAACATATGGTATGAAACCAATGGTTCAGGAATGTTGAATTTACCCAGTTCTGTTATTTTAAAAAAATTTTAATCTTTGCACTGTATAGGTTATAATGGCAGACCAAAAGTAGAAGAGAAAGTACTTCCTGGTAATAATGGGAAACCGAATGGACAAAGAATTATCAATGGCCCTCAAGGAACAAAGTGGGTAGGGTAAACTTTACGCATTCCAGTTATTTTCATGCCATTGGGAAGAGAAAAATGAATACTGTACCAATAAATCAAGTGGCCTTTTTCTTTTCTAGTTTTAACCACTTATACGTGAAGATGCTTGAATACAGTTTCTTTTAATGCTCAGAAAAATCTTTGGTTTTCTTGAGTAACTCACCAGTTCCTCTTACAGCTCATAGATGAGACCTGAGCCAGTCCTTCATTTGCCGTGACTGGTGGAAAGACACACAAAAATGTGGCCCAGCCACAGCCTGATGAATGGCCTCTCAAGTGAGCTCCCTTCCCCCTATTCCCCTGTTTTGTTTATTACTTTAAGTTTATTGTTCGGTTAAATATTAGACATATTGTCTGTAAGATGTCTCAAATACAACTTTGTAAAAGTTTCTTTGTAAAAGAAAGCAGGGTAAAAACAAACGAAAACCCCTAAATCAAATAAATATTTTTTATCAAATCAATTTTTGAATCATAATTCAACTATTGTTGTTTGATTACAATTTAAAACATGCACTAATACTTTATGTATGTTTAAACAAAGTCACTTTTGAAAACCCCTGCCTGGGGTTAAGATAAATGTTTAGGGGATTTCTGTGTGTTGTGGGTAATGGATAGGATCCTTTACAATGTTGAGACATTGAAAACATTCTTTAAAAGAATAAAAAAAATTCCTGGTGGAATTCCCAGTCCAAACTTTCCATTTATGATGGCAGGGTTTAGGAAAGCAAACAGTATTAAAGGACTTCATAAAATTTTCAATCATAGTTGAGCTAAAGATGCATTTTACCATTTCTTAAAGGAACAAACATTGAAATAGGAAGAATGAGAATTAAAGCAAAATTTCATTACAAACAGTCTTGGATTGAAACAGTATGGGGTGGATTTCAAAAGTAGAACTTTTACAAACCATTCTTATTTTTATTACCAAAACAGCACCCAACAAAGTGGCCCATTTATAGGACTTCCTCTGCGGCATGATTGTGCAGAGCAGTGATTCTCACTGTTAGCCAGCTCAGGGTCCCTGGAGGCTTGTCAAATACAAGCCCAAGGGAGGACCATGATTTGTGTATTTGACAAGTTGCCAGGTGATGGGGATTCGGGGAGGTTGCTACTCCAGGACCACCATGGAGAAGAGCCAGTAAAGAGCATGAGCTTGTTTCTTAATAGAGATAATAATATTTTCCTTCATTTTAAAGTTTCTTAGAATATGATATACTGTATTAGGCAATAATTTTTTAAAAAAATGGTGTCTCATTTAATAATCAAATTTGAATTTTAACATTAACAGTAAAATGGAAATGTAATGTTTTTAAATGCTAGTAATACATGTTCATTGCAAAAAGTTCTAAAAATTCAGAAATGGATAAAAAAGAAAATAAGCATCCCCCGCCCCTAACACTGTGGTCTCAAAGGTCACCGCTGTTGATGGTTTGGGGTATGTCCTTCCAGATTTTTTTTTCTCTGAATTTGAGCTTATATGCAAAAATATACGTATCTTTTTTGTTTTTGTAAAATAATCAGTTCTGAAATCTGAATGCATATCAGTGTAGGTCACTATATGGAAAATCCCCATGTCCCTTTTATTGGCTGCATATGGGCCATGATTGATTTAATCATTTCCCTCATTGATGGATCCTAGTTGTTTCCTAGTTACCCTAGACATAATATACTAAATGGTAAAAGTATTTTGAACATTTTTGTGTATTTGAGAAACTTAAAACAATTTACATATTTATGGGTAAGCAATTATAAGACGAAATATGACTGTTCAGCACTTTTTTTCCTCAAACCTTGTAAACTATACTGACGAAAAGAAATGTTTCCAACTCACATTATGGTTTATTTCTGTGAAAGCTTCATACATACGTAGTTGGATGAATGTATTTTGAAACGTCCTATACATTCTTTAATCTGTGTCGTGGGTTTAGGTCGTGGATCTTGACCGTGGGTTAGTGTTGAATGCGGAAGGGAGATACCTTCAAGATTCACAGGGAAATCCTCTTCGGGTGAAACTGGGCGGAGATGGTCGCACCATCGTTGGTAAGTGGGGGTGAACTGGCCACAGGATGAGATTAGCGGTAGGAAGATTTCCGTTTCCTGGAATGGCTTTGTCTTTAATGGCTGCTCTGGTCCGCTTACTTTTGGCCACACAGGAAGAAGATCCCTTGAGTATTTCCCATGAGGCTTTCCTTATTCTTCCTGCAGACTCTACCCTCCAGAAATGGGGTCCTCTACCTTTCTCCCGACACTGGCCATTTAGCGCAGGGGTCTGAAAACTGCCGCCCACAGGCAACCCCTGACCACTGCCTGTTTTTGTAAAGTCTGTGAATTCAGAATAGCTTGCATGTTTTCAAATTATTAGGAAAAAGAAAAAAGAAAAAAAGAAGAATATGTTGTGACTTGTTCGTTCATTACATGAAATTCACGTTTCAGTGTGTCCTTACACAGAGCCTTGGAGCATAAAGACACTCTTCTCTGTATCACTCAGATCTCGTGCTATGCCCTGTTTGTGTTCTAGTATCTTTGCCCTCCGAGAGTTCAGCTGAGTAGCTGCAACAGAGATCATGCAGCCTACAAAACTTAAGATGTTTATCTCTAGCCCTTAATGGAGAAAGTTTGCCACCATGGTCCTCAGTGGCACTTTTCCTCCTTGGGAGTGGGAAGGAGGAAAAGGACAAGCTCTTCCCCTACTGAGCCTCCTCAGGCTGAGGGGGCATACTGAGGAACGATCCTCAGATCTACAGAGTCCCGGGCAGTATAAAAGGCCCAGGAGCCTCCGGAAAGCAGCAGATGCTGCCCCTCAGGTGATGTCCTTTGAATTATTCCTTTGCCTTCCAGTCCATAAGCTCTGGGAAGACACTGTCAGGCTTTTCATTTCCTCTGGATTGTTCCCCCTGGTCATGTAACTCTTGGTTGGTTTTGTTTCAGATCTAGGTGGGACCCCCGTGGTGAGTCCTGACGGCCTCCCACTCTTCGGGCAGGGGCGACACGGCAAACCCCTGGCCAGTGCCCAGGACAAGCCCATTTTGAGTCTTGGTGGGAAGCCGCTGGTGGGCTTGGAGGTCATCAAAACAACCACCCGCCCTCCTACCACGACCCCACAACCCACTACCACAACTACCACTGTGCCCACCACCACCACAACACGGCCCACGAGGGCTACCACCCGCCGCACGACCACCACCCGCCGCACCATCACCACCACCCGCCCAAGGACCACTACGCGGCCTACCACCACCACCACCACCACCACCACCACTACCACCCCGGAACCCACCACCCCTGTCCCCACCTGTCCCCCTGGGACTCTGGAACAGCACGATGAGGATGGCAACCTGATAATGGGCGCAAACGGGATCCCAGAGTGCCACCCTGAGGAAGGTAACCAGCTCTGTTCTAGTGGTGACCCTGTGCTGCATCTCAGGGGTCGACAGCACAGCAGCGGTAGAGGTGTCTGAACCCCAGCAGGTTTGGTTGAGGTGCTATGGCACAATCAGTCAGCCAATAGGAAACATTGTGCAGGACATCCCTACACGACAAAGCTGTTTGCTGGTCACTTAACATTCGCGATTAACCGGGTGTTGTATCCATCAGCCCTGTCACAACCCAAGTCCGAAGCTTAGCTGAAACGTGGGGCATTATCAGTTAGACCAGTGTTTCCCAAAGTGTCTGCCACTGGATGTTAGATCAGTATTATTACATTTTAAGGAAGGGAAGAAAGAAAGGTCTGTGATTAACCAGGAGATTTAAGCGAGGTTCGATAAGTTTCTCACTGTGGGACGTTTAGAACAGTCTCCCTGGGCTCTCTGAGAGGAGTACCGTTTCTGGAGCACATCAGGCGGCTGAGCATCTGACCCGTCACCCCCTATGGAAAACGCGAATCCTCGTGGCGCGGCAATGGGCTCTCCACTGGCAAGAACACGCTGCTTTCCTGCTTGCCCAGCTTGATCTGGGCGTCCATCTGTCTGTCTGTCTTCCTACGGGAGCGGCTCTTTCTCCCTGCAGACTGGGAGCTAGAACATGTTTGCCCAGGTCCTGGTGGAGCTGCTGGGTCATTGTCCTTCCTGCTCAGGCTCCTGTTCCAGCTGCTTAGCAAGACGCCATCCTGGGTTTGCCTCAGGCAGCGGAGATGAATCGCCTTCTTTCCCTCAGGCTGAGATGAGTCGAGGGTCGGCCATGACACTAATGCCGCTTTAGGCTCCTGCAGAGGGGGACCCTTCCTTCCAGGAATTGCTTCCACACCTTCATCGCTGACGGGGAGAAGGCCAGCCATTGCAAGCACGAAGGCTGGACCCCAAACGAGAATTCTTTCATGGAAAATTGTGAAACAAATAGGAAAACATGACATCTGAAAAATTCACACCAAAGAACAGGGGAATGATTACAGGGACGAGGACCACCAGGAAGAAACGCACGACTGTTCACAGTGAGTACGAATTTGGATTTGCTAGTATTAGAACGGCTTCTTTCTTCTGCATACATTAATGTGCTTGTTTTTAAAAATAGACATTAATTAAAACAGATAATTAATATTGGTTGTAAACAAAAGAGTGATTATTTTTGGATTTGACTTTAATTAATGTATTGTGTTGCATTTTGTCTGCTTTTCTTTAACATGTTCTTTTCATTTATTTTTTATTTTTGGACCTAAATTTGGCATAAAAGTCAATATTTTTCTTGGCATTAGTATCTACTCTTTGCAAATCTGATATATATATATATATATATGTATTATTCTACTTTGCTTATATCCATTCTTCTGATTTTCTAGTTCAACCTGAAGAATAATTTGCCTCTCACCAGCATTTTGAAAACAAGTAGAAAACAAGTAGAAATCAGTTCAAAGTCTTAGGAAAGAATTATATTTGCAGACAACAACATATCATCCTCATACAGTATTTTAATGCACTGCTGCTCTAGTCTTTTTCTTTATTTCTTGCTATTTCATTCACAACTTCATTAAACACTTTCTTCCTTGCATTAATTCTGATTGACAAAAAGCTGCACATATTTAATCTACTCAACTCTGTGAGTCTGGGGATGAGAACACACCCAATAAACTGTCCCCACATAAGTGCGCCTCCAGGTGAGGTCCCCTCCAGCCCCCTTCATCCTTAACGTTCTTTTCCTTTTCTCCTTTTCCCTCCGTGGTTTCTTGGAGGTGCTCTTCTTCTCCCTATCTCTAAGATGGCCCTGCTGGACCAGCACTCAGCTCCTATGCCCTTGGGCCTCCTAGCATCAGCCTCCTCTCTTCCCACCAGGGTGCCCCCCCACATACACCTGTGTCGAATGTGCCCAGGAGACAGACACTGCAGCTGCCTGGAAATGCACAGCCTGTTCCCTGCTTCAGCATCATGGCAGTGTGGTGCTTCAGGACTAATGAGGGAGGTGGGCAGAGGAAGAGGGGTGCCATCTCTTGCAGGGATTAGATTTTAAAGAGGGCTTGAGATTTGGAAGCCACAGTGTGTCAGATTGCTCTCTTAAAGCCTGGGCACTGTCTGTAAGATCCATTTGTTGTTTCCTGGTTGAGAATCTTATAGTGAGTGGCCTCAGAGTGCACAAGCCCATTCTATAAATGACATTCAGGGCAGAGAGATGGTCCTAGGAAGGGCTGCAGTGTCAGACATGGAACCATCCAGGGTGTCCCTACACATAACCCACAGTACCATCTGGACTCCATTCCTATCCCCAGTGCTACCTCTGTGTCACTGTTTCTCTCAGTCACCTTTTCTTTGGTTGAACTGAGCGTAGTTCTGTCCATGATGTGTGTTCACAAATGCTGGGGCTCTGCCTGTGCACAACCAAGATTTGACAGGTAGTCTCTTGGGCATGGTACTGTCCAGCCTAGACCTGAAATGATTATTGCTGTAGTAGTGACCGCTTGGAATGCTTGCTAGTGGTCAGTGATGAGTATCGGTGATTCCAACCCCCTCCCCTGACCCTGCTTTAGCTGGCCATCTGACATTCCATTCCGCATACAAAGTTGGAACATTCTGTTTGTAACTCTCCAGTTTTAAAAGCATCTTTTCAAATATCAAAGTCTTGGCTCCCTTGGTTAAGTCATGCCCCCACCCTCCTTTAAAACACTGCTTTCAAATAATATTCTAGGAACACCCTTGGGCTGTTCAGTCATTCCAGTAATTCAAGCAGTGTTTTTGTGTACTTCCTCATTTGTTATGGATGCCACGCTTCCCTGTAGGCACAGATGCGTATTATATGCCTGTTTCCTGTGTATTATTGCATTTTCTCCTCTCTTCATTCACACACACACACACACACACACACTATGGTTTTTTTGTTGTGTGTGTTTTTCTTGATCTGACCTTTCCATTGGATAATAAACTCCTCATAGCCAAGATATGGCTCTGCTTCATCTCCAGTCCTTGGGGGACCCAGCTATGCATCTCAGGGTATCTATTTAAGAGCTTCAGACGCAAGCATTCTCCGCTGCCTAACTGGGAAGTAAAAGCCAGTGATCTCTGTTTTTCAGGTTCTGTTTCTCCATCTACAATCAAGCTGATGAAATTTCACGTATTTGGAAATGTTGTGAACCAGCTGAACATTCCAGAATTTGTAGCACGAGCCCACTGCATTTCGCAGAAAACCATCAGCCAAGGAAAGCGGTTGCATTCTGCCATGGCTCACTCTCCTAACAGAAAATACACACACACACAGAGAAAGAGTAATCAAAATTCACTTGAGCAGGACCCACCACACCAGGTGGAAATATACCTGTGTTCCAGTGACTGTCTTTTATTTACCTTTTCTAAAATTCTACTGGGAACACTTTATTTTTTTTTTGTCTTTTTTTCATATTTTTAAAAAATATCTCTGGAGCTTAAGCCCTAATTCTTTGTGACATTTGCTCTTCTTTTTTTTCATGACCATGGATAAACTACCGAAGAGAGTAAACTATGCTGCTGTGTGATGACTGGCAGCTACTTTTATATGAAGAAGTTCATGGTTCAGAATGGCATTCAGGTGGGGCAAAGCCAGGTGCTCAGCTTCTCTAATTAAACTGAATATACACTTCATTACATCTGGAAGTTACTTTCCCTTGGAGTCAAGATGATGCTAATGTAGAAAAATTGTCTGAGTTTATTTTATCTTGAAAACAAACATTGATTCAGTAAGATGCTCATTTATGCCAGAGGCCCAAACTGTCACTCATCCTAAGAAGAGATCTCAGTTTTCAGGTAGATGTGGCCTTGCTGTGACCCACTGCCTGCACCGAGTACTTCAGCATCTCAAGGAACTACCCTTAACACCAGGAATCCAAGAAGGAAATTATATGTATTTCCCTTTTCTTATTAACTCTGGGATGCAAAAATTGTACAACTTATTCATTTTTTGCCTGGCTAAATATAAAGAAAAAATTAAACCAAATGTATAATCAGGAAAAGTAAAACGATGTTCCTAAAAGTTAAATTGACAAAGGAAAGAAAATGGTAGGCCAGGAACCAAAAGCAAGATAACCCCCAAAATTGAGGGAGTGTATAACTGAAAACAGACTTGAACCGGCCCAGAAGTAGTTTGTATTGGATGAGGAGGATTGACATGGAGTGATCTCAGCAAGAGTTGTGTTTGTAGTTTTTCATGAAATGATCCTCCTGCTCCTGTAAGGCCAGATGATCTACAACTTGAGTCTTGTTATCTGTCCCTGCCCCATTAGAACACGCCTGGGCCATCACCTCATGTGTATACAGGTGCGGGGCTATGACACAGGCCTCTGAGTGGTTCCCAGAGGCTTTGCTGTAGTATGAAGACTAGCTGGACAGACACCTGTGGCACTGCCCTGTCCTCACGACTGGAGTTTGTTTTAGAACATAATGTTCAGGATGTTATTCAAGCTGGGCTCTGAAAAGAATCATTACACTGGAATATTTCTGGATAATGATGAATGATTTACTAACAATAAAGTATTTCAAAATTGGTGCCAAAGACTTACTGGGTGAAGGAAGTTGATGTTCTTTCCCCTTCATTTCCCCATCATTATCCCACTTCAGAGTGATGATGCTATTAGAGCACCTTAAGATTCACAGACAGTTGGATTGGTCAGATCAACGTTTCAAAAGTTGAGACAGTTTTTATGAAGAACAAAGTATTCTTTGCAGCCAAAGGGCTTGAAGTTCAAGTCCTTTCATTCACCAGCTGCGTGAGTCAGGCTTGTTATGATCCTCTCAGAGCCTTGGCGTCCTTGCCTGAGAAGAGGGTATGATGAGCCTGAAGTCTCCAAGCAAGTGTGTGAAGAGTAGCCCCAAAGTAGGTCCAGAAAAGTGTCCAAGGGCAGGAGGTTTCCAGTCTCATAGTTCCCTCCTCCTGCAGTCCCCCAAACCCCTCTTCAGAATGCTTTGTATATAAGAGCTGTGGGCTTTGGGTCAAAAGGAGGGCAAGAGTTCCCCTGAGCTTTTTTAAATTAGAAAACCCTTTTCCTCAAGTTTTTATCAAGCACAGAGAAATGTTCTCCTTTTTATAGCTGCCATCTCTAACTCCTAAGTAGAGAAATGTAACTGCTCTCATCCCCCCCACCCCCATCCCCCCCAAAAAAACCCCAAGACTTTTTGACCTTGCCAGATAATGGAGACAAAAAGTTCTTTTTCTATTATTTCTTTTTTTCAACTTAAATCACTTCTTTTCTTGACCACAAGTTCCTCATTCTCTTAATATCAGTTTAACCATTACAGGAATTTTAATAATAGTTCTCATAATTAGGTTTCCTGGAAGCCATTAAAAAATCTCACCTAAAGTTCTGTAAATTGCATTGAAAGTCTAATTCTGTGGTTATAACATATCGGGGGGGGGGGGGGTCAGTAATGCCCAAGTTGTCTTAAACAGAAATTTGCAGACATTGGTGTATCATTTGTGAAGTTCAGATGTAGGTTAAGGAGTCTAAGTTGTGCAAATTGATCTCCTGAGTTGGTGAGAGGCTGGGAGTTAGAAGGGCAGAGAGCACAGAGAACCTGATTGGTGCCATTTGCCAAGTTAGAGGCTGGAAATAGCCCTACTTCTAGAATATTCCAGAGGCCAGATTTGAGGGGTGGAGAAAAGGAAGATAGATGTTCAGGGTCCACAGGTCACCTTCCCCACAGCCTCCCACTCCTTGCATCTCTCAGTGCTCCTGTGACAGGCTTGTGGCAGGGTTGCTGAGGCCTCCCGTCAGCATCCAGGAAGCCAAGGCAGGGGCACCGAGGTGGCGGGAGGACAGCAGAGAGAGCTCTGCACATCTGGGAGGCAGAGCGAGGGTGCACTCCTGATCAGGAGGGCGCTTGGAATGGCCTTTTCTGAGCCCAGGGGAAAGAAGGCCTGGGTTCCTTTTTGGTGTTCTGATGCTCTTCCTCCTGGAAAAGCTGAGGTGACCTGATGTTGACCTGATGTTGGTGGCCTGTTTCCAGCACCTGTTGAGGTGAATGAATTATTACGCCCTGGGGCCCAAATCTGAGAGAGCAGTGAGAAGACCCATGAGCACCTGATGACCTGTCCTTCTCTCCCTCACTAGATGAATTCTCAGGCCTGGACACAGAAATGCCCACAGAAGAGGCCTACGTCGTTTACGATGAAGGTACAGGCTGATTCCCTAGACACATGGACACTTGCCTTCCCCATCCCATAATCTGGTTTTAATTTCCGTGATCTCCTTGGCAATTTCCCTCAGGGCCAGCCCTGGGAAGGTGGTTGCAGCCCCGACCCTTTCCAAGTGACCCCAAATGCCTATTTGATCTAAAGAAGAACAGCTTGCTTGATATGCAAATGCCCCTGCCAAATAAGTCCTCTGAGCCTCCTCTTCTCTCCCTTCAAATCCTCTTTCCCTTTAAGAAATTTTGGAGCTGCTGTGCCCAGCCTTCCCCCCTCACCTAAAACCCCGTGGTTTGACCTGTGTCGAGTCTTCTCTTCTGGCCTTTCTTTCTCTCACTTTCCTCTCCTTTCATTTCTTAATCACATCATGCTGTATATGTGTTGATTTCTTATCAAAGAACCTTTACAAGTGAGGGTAAGATTGAAAACACAAAATGCCTTGGACAGTACCTGAACAGTCTCTGGATAAATCACAACTAATGCCATAATTGTTCTTAGGCTTCTGGGATTGTCTCCTGGGTTGAGGAAGTTGTCTCTGCAGCTGAGAAGTTCAGGAAATCTGTCCCCACCCCATGCTGAACTTTGACATCTGGGCTCCGCGGGTTCTCATAATGGGTCTCACCTTGCATGTCATCGCCCATAGCCCCAGTGGTTTTAACTCAAAACTGTGTGTGAATAATGTCACCTCTGATGCTTTATTTATTCATAATAAAGTGTAAGGTAGTGACCAAATCCCACTACAATTTTCAAACAAACAAACAAACAAACAAAAAACTTAAAGGCTGTTAGAAAGCAAAGGAAAGGGGCTGGAGAGATAGCTCAGCTAGTAGAGCGCTTACCTTGCATGTGTAAGGACCTGGGTTCAATCCCCAGCACCACAAAAAAACCAAACAAACAAAAAGAAAGCAAAGGGAGACTCCTTAGCACCTTTGGAAGTACTAAGTGTCTTTCTTATTGACTGAGTAGGTGAAGTGTGGGGGAAGGGTTATATTTTCTTTTTTAAATATCAAAAGATTAGTTATCTGAATGGCATTAATCTCACCCTGCTCCCTGGAGGGGGAAGTCCATATGCAGAAGTCATATTTAAAAAAAATTCACATTTATCTTCTGATGTGGTATTTTATTGGCTCTAGCTGGAAAAGATGCAGGTGGGTGACAGCTGTGGGCAGGTAACAGGAGCGTGCCAAGCTGGTTGAATGAGTTACGGGGTCTCTCCAGCTCGGATACTAAAACCTCAGTTTTTTGGCCTATGTATTTTTTTCTTTTTCTTCCTCTGTTTTTATCTGAAGGTGATTTTCTCAGGAAATTGAAATGAGGAGAGAGGGTTTTTTAGTGGAAACAAATTATGTTTAAGCAGAGCAACCATTTTAGATGGCGTGCAGGTGCACAGGTGCACACACTCAGCATTTACAGTTGACAGCAAACAGTGCCCCTTACCGGAGGTGCCCAATTACAAAGCCTTCAAATCCTTTCAGATTATGAGATTGAGACCACAAAACCACCGGCAACCACCCAGCCCTCGGCCACCACCCAGCCCTCGGCCACCACCCAGCCCTCGACCACCGCTGCCATACCAAAGGTCATCCCAGAGGAAGGCCCCATCAGGTCCTTTCCTGAGGAAGAATTTGATGTGGCCGGACAGAAACGATTTGTTGGTAAATATAACTTCCTTAATCTGAGAAGCATGGTTTTTAACTTTTGCCCTTTGAAGAAGAGTGGAACTAATCTCTGGGCTTGGCCAAGTCAGTGCATTTTGAGAAGTTTTCCCGAAGCAAAGTTTCCACTGGGGTAACTTAGGGAGTCGGTTCTGTTTACATGCATGTGAATTTGCTTTCTGCAAAATTTAGAAGAGAAGAAGTGGGGGGAACAGTTGGGAGCCCAACTGAGAGGGTTTAGGAGGCTTCTCTGTGTAGACCAAGAGGGAGCAACACTTACAAATCACCAGGACCAGGGAGCATCACATATTTAAGGTAGTGGGACAAGATTTCCCACTAGGCCTTGTCTGCACATTATTTGTTTGTTCAATTCTTCCTGAAAGGTTGCAGCTCACTGAATGCAGCCACTGGCTTGATAATATCACAGAACCAAAGCTGTTTTTCTTATTTTCTATAATTTTCATTAGCCTTGAGGAGTTGGGATCTAGAAATTCCTTTTTTCTCTTCTTTCTCAGTAATTAAAACAATTTCAACGGGCAATTTTACGTTGCTAAGCTGTGTCTCATTCTCCTCCAAGTCTTCTTTTCCCATGCCCTTAATGAACTTCCCTGATGAGACAGTTGGATTAACATGTTGCTAAGTGGAGACAAGCAACAGCTTAAATTAATATCACACTTCCCTGTTTCCAAAACAAGTGCTCTGCCATGAGCAGAGAACATGCCTTGCCAGCCAAGATGTGGTGACCGGGTGTCTAAGTCGTGTGTACTTGAAGAGCGAGGACACCCATGTGAGGTAGCATTCCTGAGGCCAAGGCCAGTGCCGACTTTGCCCTGCAGTTCCATGGCAGAAAGGAACCTGCACTCAGGGCTGTTATCAGCTCTGCCTCAGAGATCTTCTGGAGACTGAAAGGCTGACTATTGTCTGGCTGTTTTCTCATGTCTGTACCTCTGTAAAGCAGAATAGCCCACTCCCTGACACTTCCTGGTGAGATCCACAGACAGGCCCAGAAGGCCCCAGGAGAGTGGAGGGAATGAACGGTGGTGAGTGAATGCTGGTTAACTGTAGGTGGCCCGACTCACATTTCTCCAAGTGTTTGGGCATAGAAATGGCAGAATGCCACAGGCTTGTATGACATTGAATTATGGCCTGGGGATCTTTCAAAATCATTTTGAGGTCATCGTCATCAATGCTGGTGGGGCAGTAGAGCCTTTGCAACCTCCAGACTGACAACTACAAGCCCCTGGGTCCATTAAGGACAGCGAGGGGTGTGCTTTTGAGTTTGGCTTCGGGACTGAGGGCTTGGAAGCCTCTGTCTGGCAGGAGAGATGGAGTTGGGTCTGATTCCATGGAGCAGACACTGCATTTCTGCTTCCAGAAAAAGCCTTCAGCAACCCAACCCGGTATCTCTGCTCTTTTCCAGCTCCTTATGTGACGTACCTGAGTAAAGATCCATCAGCCCCGTGCTCGCTGACTGATGCTCTGGATCATTTCCAAGTGGAGAGCCTGGATGAAATTATTCCAAACGACCTGAGGAAGAACGACCTGCCTCCTCGGCATGCACCCCGCAACATCACGGTGGTCGCCATGGAAGGCTGCCACTCTTTTGTCATCGTGGACTGGGACAAAGCCACCCCTGGAGATGTGGTAACAGGTGTGTCCTAGGCACATGCTCGGAGTGACACTGATTTATAGGTGGGAAATACAGACAGTAAGGGGTGCATAGATGAGTGGGCAGATGCACAGACGGATGTTTTCTTTCAATGCAATATAGGCCACAATGAAGCCTCGTGGGGTGGAACAGAGAACACTGGGTGGAAGTCAGAGTCCTGAGTCCTAGTGCTGGGTTGGTTTACGTGACCTGGAGCTAGCTGCTTTATCTCCCTGGATCTTGATTTTCTTACCTGCAAAGCATTATGTCTCCAAAATTCTATAATCCTGCAAATGGCCAGCAAGCTATTTGTGAGACCAGACCCTCCAATAAGGATGATGAAGATGCTGCTCCTAAAATGCAACTCTGCCTCTCACCCTCTTTCCATGCCTGCTGGCTTCTTCCAGATCATCTGGGGTGATTCCCAGTTCTTATGTGGGAACTGGGCAAGTTCTGAAAGCCTTTGAGATGTTCGTGAGTCCTGCCAAGAATACACTTGAAGATAAATCTTTTGAATTAAGTTCTTACAAATATAAAAATAATATTTCCCTTAACTATTTGTCTCCTTTGCACATGATGCCTCTGGGCCTGTGAGCCCAGAGGAGGAGGGCATTGGCATGCAGCTGTGTGTGCATCTTGGATGGGTGGAGGCGGTGCCAGAAGTTGAAGCTTGACATCTGTCACTCTTAGGCTAGTGTCTTTCACGTGATTCTAAATTTCTAATGCATTTTCTGTAGGTCATCAGTGTTATCTTTTGAAATGAGAAAAAAAAAATGTTCAAGAAAATCCAAAGAGCGATTTCTCTTGGGGGATGTGCCCAGGGGCCCAAAAGCCACAGTAAGGGACACAGGAGATAATGCCCCTGGAGATTTCTGCCAGGTGTAGCTGAAGGGTTGAGGGTGCAAGGAGGGTGCAGGGTTAAGAAGTTTGGGTGTAACTAATAGTGCTGTTCACTCCAGCGTGTGCTGAGACCATTTCTGTGAAGTAAAGCATTTTCCTAGCAGAAAGCAAATAAATCAACAGAAGGATGAGATTTTAGAATCAAAACACCCAGACAGTGATTTTATTAATTGAATATGGCTTTATGAATGGCAATTTTTTTAAGTAAGCAAGTAAACATACAGAAAAGATAATTGAAAAATCTTATTTTAAGCAATTTAGCTTTGACCTCTTGCTTACTTCAGGTAAACACTAGTGAGCTCTGAACCACTTGCTTCTAAGAATCATCGGTTGCAGGATGAGAGCATTGGCCACATCAAAGGTGCCACAAGGGCTCTTGTGGTGAAGAAGAGGCCTCAGGGAATTCCCAGCAAATGTCTCTGGGACTTGACCCAGACTGTATTCCTGAATTGCCCCATAGGGGCTGAGTCTCCTGTTGCCTTTGGCAGAAGAAGTCACTGTCACACATTCCACACTCCCCAAAGCTCCTGAGAGACTCAGTGTCCTCCCCTAACCTACTCCTAACCCCAAACGATGCCAGGGTGCCCCAGTTCTGATGGCTCATGATGTTAGCATAAGTGACAGAGCTGAAGTGTTTGTGGGGATCTGGGCACAGAGCAGTTTGGTGCCTGGCACCCCTGAACTATGGAGGGAAAACAGCTGGTCCCAGAAGGCTCACAGAGAGCAGGAGCCCTGCAGCAGTGAGCCCGGCACCGGCCCGTCCACCTGCAGAACAAAGAAGCCAAGCAGATGCCTACATAAGGCCCCCAAATACCCAGAGCATCCCATGACTGGGACCCGCTGCAGGGCTTCTGGACTCTCGTGGGGACGTGGGGTTAGGGGGCAGGGCTGATTTTCACTTTCCACCCTTGTTTCATAAGCAGCCGAGTCACTATGTAATAATGTGGCATCCAAACAAGAGGAAATCCCCAAGAGTCAACATGCCCACCGCCAGTCACTTCCCCAAGTCCCTTTCACAGGAATTGCTGTGTTAGGAGCCATTCCATGGAGATCCCAACATGATGACCTCAGCTTTTCAGGACCTGCTCATCAAACTTCTGTAACTGGTTTAGTCTAGAACAACAGAGAAATGAGGAGGTACACTGTGCTCAGCTGATATATTAGCAAAACCCTGAAGACTCAAAATAAAGACAGGAGGATCTGCAGGGACCAGAACCCCACAGGGGAAGCCAGAGATGAAGGCGAGCAAGCTCTGCTGACCCCTGTCAGAACCTAGTGTCTAAGGCACACACATGACTCTGGATCTACCCCTGGGAGGGTCACTCTTATATGTAAGACCCCTCCAAGCACCTGTGTCTTGACTTCACTCTCATCAGAGAAAGAGGGTGTTTTATGGAGAGAGCAGCAATGGTTCTCAGTCGGCTTTCCAGACAATCACAAAATACCTGAGATAATTACCTTACAAAGAGAAAAGTCTTGGTTCATGGTTTCGGTGTTTCCACTCCAAGATTAGGCGGACCACTGCTTTGGGCCTCTCCTGGGGTGTTGGATGGCAGTGGCAGAGAGTGCCTCACAGAACACACTGCTCACCCATGACCAGGAAGCCAGAGAGAGAAAGTCGGAAGGCTCCCTGCAGTCCAGAGTCTCTTGGCCACACACCCGCATCCAGCACTCATGCCTACATGCTTCATTTCGTGTGAAGGATGCTGTGCATGTCTCTACCAGGACATTTTAAAATGCTTTATGAGGTACTTCTTTGGTGGTTCTGGGGATTGAACCTGGGGCCTCACACAAGGTAGGCAAGGGCTCTATCACTGAGTTATATCCCTGGTGTCCCCTACTTTTCTTTAATTTTATTTTGTGGCAAGATCTTGCTACATTACTCAGGCTGGCCACAAACTTGCAATCCTCCTGCCTCAGCCTCCCAGGCAGCTGGGATGACAGGTGTGTGCCACTGCACCGGGGTGAGCTCACTACTTTCATCTCCTGCTTCTTTTTTCTTTGTGTAGTCAAGACTAGATGTGATTATTTCAAGAAGCTGAGGAAGGCCAGGGACTGGGAGAAAATAGAGAAGTATGGAGCCAGCAAGGCACAGGGAGGGCCTTCATTTTGCTGTTCCCGTCTGGATTCACCAGAAGGTGTCACAGTTATGTCCTGTCCTGACCCCAGCGTGGCTTGCTGTCCTCGAAGTTCCCCACAAAGCTGTATGGATCGCCTCCTCCCTGACACACCTCTGGTGTGACTTAGTTCCTCCATGCTCACCGGGTTCTTCCTGTCCCCATTCCCAGGGTACTTGGTCTACAGCGCATCCTATGAAGACTTCATCAGGAACAAGTGGTCCACTCAGGCTTCCTCTGTGACTCACTTGCCCATTGAGAACCTGAAGCCAAACACAAGGTATGATGTGTCAGCCACACAGAAGCAGAAAGGAGGTCCGTGCACAGGGTCACATGTGTCCTGTGGTTGAAAACAAAAAAGGAAATGGTTAATCATGATATTTTTATGACCGTATTGAATTCTGTGTTTCGTTCTCACTGAACGTCAATCAGTGCTTACCAGGGTGCCATATCTTTTTTCAGAAGTTACTGTGTATGTTGTAATTGTTAGGTTATTGGGTTTGTATTTTGTTCCCTATTTTCCTAAACACCACCTGCCATTAGAGAAAGAAAGGGTGTTCTGTGTGTCAAAGGGGAATCCAGTTTCTCTCAGTGTCGTGGCCTTAGGAGCACAACCCTCAGCTGACATCAGGTGGAGCAGCAATTGATAAATACTGTGGTTAACTTGTGCTCAGACTCTATGATGTAGAAGTTGAGACCATTCTAGGAAGAAGCATTGACATGAGTGAAGGTTACAAGGACCTCTTCATAAAACTGGGGGATGGCTGGAGCGTCAGAGCACCATTCTGGAAGCCCAAGTTTATAGCACCGAGGGAAATGGGCACAGTGGGTTGCCAGGGTACAAGGAGATTGGATAACCATTCATTTCCCTCTTATACTACCTGGTTTTGGTGGTCATGATCAACAGAACGCTTCTCTGGTGGGTGCACATGCATGAAGGAGCAAGCATGTGCTGTCAAGGGGTGATGTGCTGGTAAAGTAGCTATCTGGGAGGAAATACCCCTGGTTTATGCATCCTCCAATTTCTGTGGTGTAGACGCTCCTACCCTGGCCAACTTCCAGCTGTCAGGGGCCCTAAACAGTTAATGAGGGGCTCCCACAGGCTAGAACAAATGTCTAGGGCACAGCACAGCACTGCGGTGTGGAGCCAGTGGGTTTAACAAACTCAGACGGCATGAATGCAGATCTGGGCTCCCTCCCGTCGCTAACAGAGAGAAGACTGGAGCAAAACGCTCATAAACAGACCTGCGCTGCAGAGATTAGAAGCTGGACAATATCCATGGGCACTGAGAGGCTTCTGAACTAGCAGAGAACTTTCCTCAGGACATCTTAATGTGCCTTTTGGGCTCACTTGAACTGAGCTTCCATAAACCATGATGCATTTCAGGGTTTGGCAAGTAAAAACCAAGTAGTAAAGCAGAAAGCCGAAAAAGCACTTTTCTTGAACTTTCCCTGATAGTAACGAGAAATTGGTTAACTAGGGAAAACAAAACCAGCAGAGTTAGAGACAATGGGGTGAACATCTTTTTTATGGTGTGCAGAGTGACAGTGCTTATACGGCCCGGTCACCAAATCTGACACCGTCCAGATGTTTTGCCCCAGAGCCACTTGCCATGGAACTGCCCCCCCCCCCCCCCGGTCTCCGGGTCCCACTCAAGTCCAGTGTTGTTCACAACTCCTGCTGCCATACTGAAGTGGAGTTTTTAATGATGTCAGGAGGTGGTTACGGGGCATGATGGGTTATTCATTCTTTCAACAAGCATTTCCCAGAGTCCATGCATCAAGCTCTTCCTGTGTGTTTGCTTTGGGCGAGACCACCAAATTAGGAAGGCAGGAGCTTGGGGTGGGGTTAGGACGCTCATGACCCTCATGGACCTTCCAGTCCTGTCCTCGTGAACATCTAGTCTGGTGGGGAAGTCAGATTTTTTTCAACAACGAGCGTTGGTCTCAGGATGCCGTCAGGTGAGTTGAGGAGGCAGTCAGGTAAGCTTCCGCGCAGAAGGTAGATGTACAAAATAGGAAGCAGTTGAGCTGGAGAAAAAGTGAGTGGGTGAGGGCAATTGCTGAGGCAGCAGGAAGCCCCAAGGCAGTGTTCTGGGGAGAAGGGGAGGCTTGAGAGGAGGTGGAGCAGGGGGAGAAGAGGTTGCACAGACAGTGCAGGGCTCCCCATGCGGGTGCCCAGGACAGACTGCAGCCCTGCCTCTTCCCCTCCACCCCAGGTGCAGGTTCTTCGCTCCTGGGGTGGAGGGTGCTGGCGGGAGGCAGTACCCAGCTCACCCTCCACCACTTCCCTCAGAGCCTCTGGAGCAGCCGCTGATTTCTGCAGCTAGAGGGTGATGTGGCATGAGCACACTTATTGTCCCGCATCACACAAGCTGTGGCTCCGCGGAGTCGGGTGTGGTCCTGGTGTGCAACCCACTGAGAGACGTTGTCCCAGTCCCTGGGGAAACCTGCCTCCGAGTCACCATGGGAGAGACAAGAAGTTAGCCCCTCACAAGTGGAGCCAGATTCCACCTAGGAGGGTCGGTCAGTCAGCTTTTCATTGCAGTGATCCAAATGCCTGAGAAAAACAGCTTCAAGACAGGAAGCAGAGGGAGAAGAAGAAAGGGGGGAGGACAAGACACACCCTACCAGGTGCACCCTGTGACCTGTTCCTCCCTTGGGCCTGGCCGCCTATGTTTTCCACCACCTCCCAATAATGTCATCAAATCATGAATCCATCCATGTGGATTAATCCATTGAAGACATCAGAGCCCTCATGATCCAGTTACGTACTGGAAGCCCCACTCTGAACATTGCTGCACTGGGCACCAAGCCTTCAACACATGAGTCTTTGGGGACATGCCAAATCCAAACTATAACCGGGGGAAACATTTGATCCTTGTCTTTCTGAGTCTGGCTTGACATGATCTCCGGTTCCATCCACTTTCCTGCAAATGGTATGGTTCTGCTCTTTATGGCTCACTAATGCTCCATTGCTTACATATACCACATTTTCTTTATCCATTCATCTGTTGATGGACACTGAGGCTGACTCTACAACTTGGCTATTGTGAATTATGCCATAATAAACGTGGGGGTGCAGTGTCTCTGTAGCATGCTTACTTTAATTCCCTTGGGCATTTACCCAGGAGTGGTACAGCTGGATCACAAACTGTACTTCTATTTTTAGTTTCCTGAGGAACCTTCATACTGATTTCCATAGTGGCTGCACTGATTTACATTCCTATAAAAATATATATAAGGGTTCCTTTCCCCCAGAATCTTCACCAGCATTTATTGTGCTTTGTATTCTCGATGTAAGCCATTGTGACTGGCCATTAGAGAAGAGAGAGAGAGGAGCAAAGGGAAAGGAGGGTGGGGAAAGAGAGGGCCATGGTGTGGACATGATCAAAGCATATCATTTGCATGTAAAATATGCCACAGTGAAACCCGTTACTCTCTATAATTAAAATGCAATAGTAATAATAGAAGCCAGAGCCTCATCATCAGCTTTGGTTGTTTATAAACTGGATCTTGTTTTTGATTTGAAGTGACCACAATCTACTCTGTTGACTACACTCAGCCCCAGTTACTCTTTGGAGGCTGCATATTTTAAATCCCTTCTTACAGTACAAAGATTTGTCACCAGTGAGGCTATTCAAAAGAGGTGCCAAAACTTACATAAGAAGGAGAGGCTTGGGCTGCTTTTGTTGCTTGGATGAGGCAGAGACTATTATTTGGAGTATGAAATAAATATTTTAGTTGGTAGAAAAAGTTTAATGTGGTTTTCAAAAAATGGAAATTTTACTTTTCCCCCCAATTTCTTGTTGTTTTCCAGCTCAACATGTTTCCATTTACTTTGACTCAGTAGTGAAGTTCATATGGAAATGTCTTTGGACTTGGCACATGAGGGAGGGTAGACTTGGACAGCCCTTGGGTTTCAGTGGTAAAACAAAATTGATGTCAACAAGCGACAGTCCCCTAGCATGTTAGTTGTTCCTCCAGTTGCATGAGGAGCTTGGAACAGGGTATTAGGAGGGATCCAGCAAGGGCTTACAGAGTTATTCATCAGAAATGCTCCTTGTAGCTGCTGAACGTCTCTTTCCTTGTGTTTAATTCCTTTCTTTGAGGATAAAACAATCTGTGAAATTTGCCCAGGATCACTGATGTATGCCAAGCTTGAACTGCTGCAGGGTTCTGCCCTAAATCCTTTGGTGACTGCTGGATAGGGGTGTGCATGCTGGGAAGACACACTGCAGGGCGGATTGAGATTTTAGAAAAATATGTTCTTTTTTTAAAGAATTGAAATTTAGAAATGAATACACCTATATGAGTTGTGAATGACTTAAGAAGACTAATTTTACCAAATGGCTTTTCTCTGCTGGTTAGTCAAACCACAGGAAAATATGCACTTGTACTGTGAGGTGAGGGGCCGCCCTAAGTCTCTGCTGTCCCACCACACAGCAGGCAGGCTTGCTCTCGGGCAGCTGGCAGGTGTGACAGGCCTTGAATGTAAACAATATATCTTTCAAAACTTGAGTGCATTTGAGTTAGTACATGTGCTCTGTGTGCCTGACAAGATAAAGAATTTTGGAACACTTCAGAGTGACCTTCTTGCTGGCTAAAAGTCAGAGAAACAGACTTTCCAGGGTGCAGCTAGCCACCACTCGAAGAGATGTTTTATCCCTCTTTTTACCTATAAATGACAGTGAGTTGGGAGAGCCAGAGTGACACCTGGAATCCCAGAAGTGAAGATGTCACAGACATTAAGACATTAATGTCACAGACATTAAGTCCTGGAGCTGGTCTCCAGGACTTCTCGACCACTGCTTCTTATCTGCTAATCCTCTAAGAGTGACACTTCAATGCCTGGAGACTCAGTCTCCCCAAGATGAACTAGATGACACAGTTAGTGTATATTCCAAAATGAAGCTCCACCCTGCAGCAAAGCCTCTGTCTCTTCCTTTTCCACACCCATACCCCCTTCCTGGACTTGCTTCTCTTTCCTTGGGTGCAGAAACTCACAGCCGGGTCACTTGTAGCACCATCCGTTCCTGGCTCCAGAGCCACCCCAGCACTCCTCCTGCACCCCAGACATTGTTGTCTTGTTAGTTCTGACTTTTTGCCTCATGACCATTCTGTTCCAATTTGCCATGTGTTCACATTAACTGTATGATTTTAAAAAGCTATTAAACATGAGAAAGTTCAGAAAAAAAGACAAAGGTCACAAGTGATGTGGACATTCATAAAGATGGGACTTTCCAGGGAGTAGGAGCTCAGTAGTTTAGAATCTGCCTCATCATTCAAAAGTCAATTTCTCAAAAGATGTTTTCTTCCGATTTCAGGTACTACTTTAAAGTTCAAGCCAAAAATCCTCACGGCTATGGGCCCATCAGCCCTTCTGTCTCTTTTGTTACAGAATCAGGTATGGGCGACTTCATATTCTCATTTTACTTCTCTTGGAAATGAAATTAAAGATCTAGAACTATGATGACCACAGAGTAAAAAGTAAAGCAGTGAAACCCTTTTCCATTGGATGAGATCATACTGGATTTCCCTTTATAAAGTCAGCACTATTTTTTTTCCTGCTATTTTAAAATTTGGAATGAAACTAGAAGTCGTGTTCACTGGTTCTCTGGGGAGCACAAAAGTTGATTTCCAATGAAAGGAAGAAAAAAATCTAGTTTTCAACCAGGTGGGGAAGATAAGTTTGAATCCATGTGTATAAAATGTAGTTTCAGAGTTGTTGTTGTTGTTGTTGTTGTTGTTGTTTTTGTGTGTGTGTGTGTGAGTAGCTGACAAGTGTCTATGCCAGTTGGTCTGAGAGTTGCTTCTCCAGTTAGCCAAGACCCTAAGACCCAGGGTCCCCTCTAAGATCTAAGATGTCTGTTCTTAATATTAAGAGTTAATTAAGGTATAATTAAGGTATTATTCAGTTTCATCAACAATATCACTTTGGAGCATAACCTCACATTTTGGGATGCTAGTGGGCAAAGTTCTCAGGTCTTTCAATAAATGTTCCTGTGGCCTACAGTCTGAGGCCACGCGTGCAGGGATGGCCCACAGTGACCATTCTTGGGTTAGTGACTTCCTTTTTCCATGTGGGAAGCCAAGCTAGAGTTCAGACCAAGCCAGGCTGAGCCAGCTCTGACCCACATCTTCTGGCTGCCATTTGGTTAGATTATTTCCTATGCGTTACTTGATTCCAGAAAATCTGTCTTTAAAAGATATTTTAAGCGTAATGATTTAAAATCTACTGGATTAAAATATGTGGACAAAATGATCTTTTATGAGAATATGCTTTATGTTGGAAATGTAGGCAAAAGACCTCAAAAGCGTTTTCACTTATTTCACATAGGAAATGTGTTTGCTAATGTAGGGAATGTATACGTGTTCACGCTGCATTTCCTAAAATCAAAGTGGGCCTTTGGGATCAGAATGAATGCAATCAGGTGGATCACGAAAACAATTCAAATCCAAGAAGCTCAGGTCTGAAATGTATCTGAAAGTAGAAAGTGACCTGCTGGGAATGCTATTTCCAGGACTCTAACTAAAGTAACTTTTGAAGGTCCATTCTCTTCTGTCCTCTCTACCCAGCAAAGCTGTGGCCTATCCTTTGTGGCCCTCAAGGGCAGGTGAAGATGAAGGCCTCACCCCAACCTTGAGCCCCAATCTCTGGGGATAGACCTAGGAACCCCATTTCAGTGAGCTCCTGGGAGACCCTAACACACTTGGAGTTTTGAATTATTTGCTCTGGTCATCTTCATTTTATTCAATCTCTATATTTGGGTCTCTTCTTCATTTTGTGCTACCCTACTGAAAATGGTCAGGTTACAACAGGAACATACAAGTAGGTGACGTATGGTATTTGCTGAACATAGTATCCACGAGGTCAGGTGTTGTTGCTGGTGTTCCATATAGTTCCCTATCTTGTCCCAGAATATGTGAGACTTTTGCTATCAGACTGTTGAAACTGAGGAGCTCAAGAGCAGGAGAGCAAAACAAGCCCTTTCCCTTTAAGCTAGGTATGTCAATCTATTTGGTATACAACAGATGATGGCAGAATGAATAGTTTGTACAACGTACAGCACGGGGGAGACTTGGGCATGCCATATTCTTGTGCTGACAGTAGAGGCGGGTTCCGTGAATGTACACATGTGTTGTCATCCATAGGCTGCATCTGCTAAGAGAGCAACTTACTGCATGATAATTTTTTAATAATAAAAAGAATGGTCTGTATCTATCTAATCCATGGCTAGACTTTTTTCAAAGCAGAATTCCTTAAAAGGCAAATTTCATATTCTCTTAAATGGAACTAATTGGACTAAGGCATAGATGGGTTTTATGAAGAGCATTACTGGGGTGTAATGGCATACAGTAAGCTGCACACAATTAAGCGGTGCTCCTTAATAAGTTCTGAGTTATATTCATACGCACGAAGTCCTCACTACTGTGATGATGATGAGCATGTCCATCACTCCCAACAATTGCCCCTGCTCGGGGGGGGGGTACAGCCTCCCACCCTGCCCTCTCACACACAGTATGCGGTTCTTTGGCTTCTTTTTTTCACCATTAGTCATTTTGAGATTCATCCATATCACTGTGTGTATAAGTAGTTCATTCTCTTCTATTACTGATCAGTATCTTATTGTACAGCTAAGCCATGACTTGTTTATGCAATTCCATTAACTGTTGATGATCATTGGGGTTATTTCTATTTTCTGACTCTTGCAAAGATACTATAAACATTCATGTACAAATGTTTGTAAGAATATGTATTTTTAACTTCTTTTGGATAAATGCTTATGAATGGAATGGATAGGCTAGATAGTAGGTATATGTGTACTTTGTTTTAAAAAATACATATATCAAACTGTTTCCAAAGGTAGAGAATGCCATGAGGTCAGGTGTCCATTGTTGGAGTTCCACATAGTTCCCTCTACCTTGTCTCAGGGTATTTGAGACTTTTCTACCAGACTTTTGAAACCAAGTATTGAATTATTTTGTAGGCATTCCAATATCAAAACATTATTTTCAGAGACCCACAACTTTTATGTAAATAAAAGGACAGTTAACTAGAAAAGAGTATTTCTGAAAAGGGAATAATTAGAAAATAAAAAACTAAGGGAAAACTTTGGCATATAATAAGTAACATTTATTTTTTTCTGTATGCCAGTTTGGTTAGCTCTTTCAATTACAATAAATCTTTAAACATTTACACGATTGTGAAACGTGATACAAAGTCAATTATTTCTTTTTCATTCTACAGATAATCCTCTACTTGTTGTGAGGCCACCAGGTAAGTCTCTCTTTCCGAGGATCTTAACCCTATGGTCATCATATTCCCTAATGTGAGATTGCTGTGATCCCTCACAAAGAGAAACGCTGGACCACTTTTGCATTTTAATAATTTTCTGACAACTTCCATCTATCCTTGATCCAGGTCTATGGAAAAGATTGACTTGGAAATGTTTTAAATATGCCAAAACAGTCAATGTATATGAGAAATCATGGAGGAGTAGTCAATATCTATAAAAAAAGATACTCTATTTACACCAGCCCTGGGAATATTGTAGAATGCCAAAAAGATACATACCATGAAGTTTTTCAAACAAACCAAGAAAGCCCTGTTATTAAAGTTCAAGCAGGAGGAGTAGGAGTCAATGCTGAGCGACTTGGGGAAGGATGGTGAGCCCCACAGGATCAAAACGGCCATTGCAGCCAATTTTCCTTGAGGCATAGTCTACCTTTAATTCTGAGAATTTATTGAAATAAAAATACCTTAAATAAATATGATCAGGTAAAAGAACCCCCCAGTTGTACTTTAGTACTTAAAAAGAAGAGGAAAATCCAAAAGGGTGCTTGTTGGGAGGCGGGAAAACCTTACTCAGAGAAGCCTTGAGGAAGGAAGGGCCCAGTGCATAAGTCCACTTTCCGGATACTCTGCAAGAATAAATGCTGCAAGCTCCCATCACTTAGAGGGTGTACTCTGTGTTGTCAAGGTGGTGAGCCCATCTGGATCCCGTTTGCTTTCAAACATGACCCTGGCTACACCGACTGCCATGGCCGGCAGTACGTGAAGCGGACGTGGTATAGAAAGTTTGTGGGAGTCGTGCTCTGCAATTCGCTGCGGTATAAGATCTATCTCAGTGACAACCTGAAAGGTAGGTCTTTGAGCATGGCTGGCCCTGGCAGGCATGCAGTTTTGATCTTCCCAGGTACTAACTTGACCCAACAGGTGTATGGGCATGTGTTGGGGGCTGGACCCTTGTGACCACACACCCCCTGCCAGGCTCTAATACAACCAGTGCTGTAGGTTCCACTCTGGGGTCGCTAGATTTTCCAGTGGCATGCAAAAACATATTTTTGAAAATCTACTACACTTGAGGAATGAAGTCCAAAATTCTCTAAAAAATTTTATAAAGCCTATTTTTGTTTGCTATTAATTGGATAATGATAAATGAGGATAAACTGGAAGAATTGAGGAAAGTCCACCTTCCAGGCTCTGCCACAACCACTACTTTTCAAAGAAAAAATGTAGATGGTGGCACAAATATCAGCAGTTCTATTTGTTCTGTGTCACAATAAAAATGTTTTTATCATAGTAGGGATCAAAACAAAGAGTGATGTGACGACCCAGAACTACCAGCCCTTCAAAATGCCATCAGTCCCCAGCTAGCTTTGACTCACCACCTACACCGGGCTGGTTATTTTTTTTTTAAACTCACACAACTTTTAATTTTCAATTAAAATTGAAAACTTATAATTTTAGCATATATATATTACAGAATTTTCTTCAGCTGGTATATATTTTCCACTGGCCAGTTTTTTAATTTTAAATTTTCTTATTAGCAAGGATTATGTAAAGACAGGGTCAAAACAAAGTCTCCCCTTCCATTCCCTGCTCTGCAATTCTGGGTATCCATGTCTCCCCAAAGCAAATACACTCTCTGTGTGCTCTTTGCTTATGTTTCCACCTTTGTCTTCCCCTGCCTCAGAATTGCTAGGAGGGGTTAGTGTGTCCCAGGGTGGAGAGATGACTTGGCCTTCCTGTGCTGTGTGCTTCAGCACCACGGACAGCGTCCCATGCTGCCCTGGGGTCCCCTCCTCCCAGATATGTGGGAAGTCAGGTTCTCCTATTCAAATACACTAATTATTCAAAAGTGATTCTCCACCGCAGTTTTCTTCATTCCTTTTAAAACAGGGGCATAAAAGTTCTCTCATTTATATGTTAAACTCTAGATTGCTCATAGTTTCCCCCTACTGAACATCGTTAAGTATTCAGTGTGTGATCTTGCTGAATCTTTATGAACTTTCCGAGGTTGGTGCCACTATCACCATTTTTTCAGACATTAGAAGTACAGAACACACAATTTCAATAATGTGCTCAGCTCAAATGGTCTTAAAGCTTGTTCCAGCTCCTTGGCCTGCTGTGACATTCTTTGAGGAGTCCCTGACCTGTTACGGTTCTTTATGCAGATACATTCTACAGCATCGGAGACAGCTGGGGAAGAGGCGAAGACCATTGCCAGTTTGTGGATTCCCACCTTGATGGAAGAACAGGGCCTCAGTCCTATGTAGAAGCCCTCCCTACCATTCAAGGTAATGGGAACAAATGCTTGTGCCCAGAGGAGAGAAACAGGTTAACAGGAGGAGGAAATTCACTGTAGCTCCACCTTTGATTTGCCATCTGAAGGTGGATGTTGGGAGCACTTGGGATCATAAAAATGAAAATAAGGAACCAAGGAATCAAAATACTCCTACCATGTGCTGGGCATGGGGTGAGCCTTGAAGAGCCAGGGGGTTCAAAGGGATCTGTGAGGCCTCTCTTAGGGACATGCCCTGTAACTGTGAAGAGCAAGCAGGCAAGAAGGTGACTTGGTGAATACCATGCTGAATAGAGAAGGACAGGTTGTGTCACATGATCATTGTGTGGGCAGCCGAGGTGCCTGTTACAGTCACTGAATTCAAAGGAGGCACCACTTGAGGTGTTAAGAAGGGTTTAGTGTGAGGCAGAGTCTTAAGGACTGGCTGGATGGGTGGAGGGGAGAGCCTTTCAGAGGAGACACACACAGGGGAACGTACAGAGAAGACAAAGGTCAAGTTGCAAGTCCACCAGGACAGGTTTCAGAGGCCGTACAGCTGACATCATGGAGTGAGGATATGTATCATCTCAAAGGTTAGCAACTGGTAACATGTGACTCATTCACGTAGCCTTCCAAGCAAACAAATTAATAGGACAACTAAGTGAAACCCAGCACCTTTCCCCTTATGCATTCAACTCTTCATGTTCTGGCATTTTCAGGGCATGATGGATACTCATCTAACAGGCTCCTTATTCTGAAAAAAAAATTCATGAATGGGTAAATGAATCACCATGTTCAAAGTAACAGGTAAAGAAACACTAAAATCAATGGAACGGTAAAATGAGTGTACCAGGGCTGTCTCACCTAGAGAAATGGAACAATTAGTGTCCATTCATGGAGATTTATTTTGAGGAATCGGTCCACATGGCTGTGGACAATGGCAAGTTCAACGTATCTAGAGTAAGGCAGGCTAGAGGCTCAGGGAGGAGACGGTGTTGCAACTCAAGTCTGAAGGCTGGCTGGGGGCAGAATTCCTTCCCCTTTCCAGAATGGGGGTGATCAGTCATTTTTATTGACTTTCAACTGAGTGGATGAGGACCACCCACGTTATGGAGGTAATCTGTTTTCAATCCCCTGGGATAGATTTTGGCTTATCTAAAAAGTACTTTCATAGAACTCTCTAGAGTAACATTGGATTAAATATGTAGCCTCATCTGGTTGACCATCACAGTAAACATACAAAGTATATCACAATGCACAGTGTTTGAAGTCCTTGTGGTGCCCCAGGGTTACAGTATTCCACTGTTTCTGTGACCATGGCCATGGCATTGGCCCTGGGCATAGGTACTGATTAATCAATGTGCTCCGTGGCAGAGTGGCAAGAGGTCATTTATTTGGCAAGGTCAAGAATGAGAGCAGTTGTTGAGTTTTCCAAAATTTTGATGAGGCTGGAGCACCCCGTCTGCTTGCAGACAGAAGTGTTCAGAATGCTACAGGATCCTTTTCTCTGAGAGATTTCCTGAAAGATCTAAAAGTCTGCCTGGATTCTGAGAATCAAGCCTCGGCGTTTTGAGGTTCTCAGCTCAGTGAGGGTGGGAGGGAGTCTCACCCAGCTCAGGGCCTGCCCTTCCATGGGTGCTCACTGTTGTCTAAAACCTTCTTCTGTGGAGAGAAAGGGAGGGGATAATAACCACGACTCTCTGCTATCTGCGTTATATACATGTGGGGACCGGGTTATCTCACAAATCATGTTTGGGACCTCAGGCTCTCATCATCCCACCCAAAAGTGGCTTCGGTGGTAACACTTGTCGTATGAGCCATTCACCAGAGGACTTCTCTTTGAAAGGACATTATAAGGATGAGGATTTTTCCCTTTTGGTTCAGTTGATTTTGACGCATTTTCTGCCCTGCTCTCTCCTGTTGCTTTTGCAGGTTACTATCGCCAGTATCGCCAGGAGCCTGTCAGCTTTGGCCAAATCGGTTTTGGAACCCCCTACTACTATGTGGGCTGGTACGAGTGTGGGGTCTCCATCCCAGGAAAGTGGTGACCACAGGATCGTCACACTGCAAGTTGACCTGCCCAGCCCCGTTGACTAGTTCTTACCATGGACTGTGAGCAGAAGGATGGAGAAAGACTGTGCCCCAAGCCCAGATGCCCACTGGGTGTCATGGCGGCCACATGATGGACACTGGACATTTTGGTCATCTTCAGTCTGAAACCCAGTCGCACTTCTTGGCCTGGACTCAGTTTTGTGGAAACTTCACTTCTGCACAATTTTTTATCTGTTACAGCAGATCTCAGAGACATCTGAAACCACAGCTGATTCAGGGCGAGTTCCAGGCTCTAGGCACAAAACTCAAACCCTAATGTCTCCAGGGAACAGCGTGAGCATGCTGTGCTTGCTTCCATAAAACACTTTCTGTTTTTTCTCATTCTCGACTCCTCTAAAATCAGCTGAATTTAAGCTTCAGGTCTTTTTGTATGCACTAGAACTGAATTACTAAGAATACTGCTAAAGAAAATATATTCTACCTAAGATTTTTTTCTATGGACTTACCTACCACTAGATTAAATGCATCCAATTTTATTTGTAAATTCTCAATTTTGATATATATATATGTATATATGCATATACATATCCACACTTGTCTGCAAAAAATACTGATTAAAATGGCTGAATTTGTACTTGTTCACTTGATAAATGCATGTGGGACTTCTTGGAAAAGGCGTGGTTTATTCACATCTAGAAGTGACCAGGGATGGGTACTCTGCATAGTGAAATGCCAATGGAGAGGAAGCGGTTCTTCCTGTGGATGGTGCTGGGCTCTGGTGATGAGGAGGAGGCAGAGATGCTGTTGTGAATGAGCGGTGCCCTTGTCTTTGCCAACCAAGTGCCTGCTCTTTCCACACCCAGGTGGAAAACATCTTTGTTGCCTCTGTAGCAGTGCACCTAGTATGTTCCAGACAAATGAGTTTAGATCCCCAAAGATGATTTAGAGTCTTGTTTTTAAAAATTATGTTTCTCTTTCTTTCCTAGCTCATTATCTACTCCTTGAAATAGAAGCATCTTGCCTCTCTTGACTGTGGCATGAGAGGGTTTCTTTAGACACTTTATTCTCATTCTCTTTGAAATATTCTGCCCTTGCCGCTCACTTGGCTCACCCCTGTCCCTCAGGCAGTCCTGTGGAGGGACAGATTTGTCTTCTTGCACCAGGCATCAGCCACCAGAGAAGCAGTGGTGGAGATAGCTATAAGCAGACTCTCTCTCATGGGACTGCAGGTCACACCCAGTGGAAGCCCTTGATGGGCACAGCGCAGTCCTGGGGGCTGGGTTGATTATTGTCAGTGACAGCCCTGTGGGGAGGTGAAGCCTGGTAATTCTGAAGGCAAAACTTACAAGGAAACAAGTCATTTTGCAGAGTCTTTGTGATGGGGCTGTGATGGCTGCCATTTTTCTCAGATTTCACTGTCCCCTTTCTGCAGTAAATGACAAGCAAAGAAAAGACAAGCATCTCTCAGCAGGGGAAGGTCCTAGAATTGCTCAGAGAAACAGACTATGTTGACCCCATTTTATTTTGCAAAAGAAGTGGGAATTAAGCAGCTTTGGGGTCTTTGTACCTGAAAGGGAGATTATGAAAGAAGGAGGCACCGTTCAACAAATGTGCTTCCTGATGCCAAGCCAGAGATAAAATCTCTAAATATAATCGAACTTTTCTAATAAGCAAACAACTTGCTCCCTTTACCTGTCCCCACTGTCCCCAAATTTCTGTTTGTCCTCAGCATTCACTAGCCTGCTCCTGAGAGCAAAGAGAGATGCCTGAATGGGCCTGCCCTGGGGAGAGCACCAGAGACCACACGTTTCCTGAGCATCTTTCCGGGGGATAAAGAATCCATTAGAGGGCCCAAGAGGGAGACCTTGGGCTGTCCCCAGGCCTGTATTGGTTTGGGGACAGGCTTTGAAAGAGGTGGTTATTAGGACTCCACCTGAGACCCAGGCAACTTCTCCCAGGCCACTCACACTTTCATATACCAACGCAGTGGTCCTGCCTCTCAAAGGATTTTATGCGTATATTAAAGAAATGTAAGTACTTCACTGGCATTCACTCTCACAATGGTTTTGAGCCCTGCTGGAGACATCTGAGTTGCATTTAATTATAGAAATCTGAAGTTTTATTAAAAATAAACATTTGCAATTTTAGCTGGCAATTACCACGCCCCTCAGATGATAGAGCTGCTAAAACCAAACAAAAATATAAGCAGAGGGATGAAACCAATGGAAGTGAACAGGAAGTGTACCACGCACATATAATACATGTGCGTACATAATGTAGTGTATGTGTGTGTGTATACACATATGACGTGATTCCCAGGAGAATTGGTACACACAATTATAGAGTCTGAGACATTCCATGACAGGCTATCTGTCTAAAAGCTGGAGACCCTGGGACACGGGCTCAGTTCAAGTCAGTTCAAGTGCAAAGGCCTCTGAGCCAAGAAAGTCACTGGCGTTATCTCTCAGTGTGAGGCTGAAGTCCTGGCAACCCAGAGTGCTGCTGGTGGAAGTCCTGGAGTCCATAGGCCACCACCTCGCAGCCCGTGAAGCAGAGAGCTGGCCCACTCTAGAGGTCAGAAGCAGATACAGGTAGAATTAGCAGGGAAAGAAAATATGATCCAATTTGACAAAGAATTTTAGAAGAGTCCAGCCATTATTGGACTGGAGTTCTGGGGTCTGGGCAGAAGAAGATTGTACCCCAGCTCCAGGAGAATGAAAACCAATTTGTCTTTCTGTGTGTGCACATGTGAGTGGTATTGGGGGCTGAACCTCCAGGGGCTCAAGTGTGTTGGTCAAGTGCTCTAATACTGAGTCCTCCTGTTTTGTACTGCCTGGACCCCCTGCTGACTGGATCGTACCTGCCCACATTGAAGACAGATCTTCCCCACTCTGTCCAGACTCACAGGTCAATGTCCTCTGGAAACACCCCCGCATGCATGCCCAGAAGCACTGTTTTACCAGCTCTCTGGATAATCCTTAAGTCATCTTACCACCTAAAATTAACCATCATGGGCAGTACTATTATCAATACTCTGTTCAAATTAAGCTACATAATAGATCAAATGAATCCATGATGATTGAATCAGATTTTAGAACCTCAAATTCTGGAAGTCACATTTTAGGGAGACCACTGGAATCAAGAAGCCAAGAAGCAGGTACTCAAGAGTCTGAAAATAATTTTATCCCCAGTTAGGATAACCTTGACGGGAAGGTGTACCTGAAGAGAGAAAAATTCACCTCTTCACAGCCTGTGAGGAAGGATTGCACATTTCCTGAAAATCTTATAGATTGTCAACTCTATGGGTTGGAAAAGATATGGTCAGAAATTATAGGAAAAGAAAATATGGCTCAATTTGACAAGAACTTCAGAAGAGTCCAACCATTGGAAAATGGTGAGAGATCCATTCCCTTAAAACTTCAGCTATCACTGGGAATGTCTGATCCTGCAGCTCAAGATCTCCATCCTGCTTGAACATGGCCTGTGAACCCAGAATGGTTTCTACATATTGAAAGTGTACAAACAGGGGCAGGAGGAAGATGGCGGCGAGGGGAGTGCATTGCCCCCGTGTGCTGCTTCACTGTGTGGGAGTATGACAAGTCAGGACGGCTAAAGGATATCTTGTTAGGAATTTCCAGCAATAGTGGGGTGCTCCGGAACCTGGAGGAAGGATTTCCATCGCATGAGGATCGGCTACGGGGACTCAAACGCGAGAGGTTTGTCGCACGGAGGGTAACACTGCTTATTCAGCAAATCGCCCCGCGGCTAGAGTCTGCAAGGCGCGCTGGGATAGAGACGCAGGGTTACAGCGCTGCAGTTTCTGCCAGCCGCGCAAGCACCGTACTCAGGGCTGAATTCTGGGTTCGAGACGGGGGAAGGAAGCAGTCCATCTCGGTTCTCCACACCGGTCAGACCACAGAGGAGGCCAGCAGCCACCATGTTGGTAAACTGACGTCACCTTCCCTGTTTTCGACTGACCGCAGCTCATTCAGCCATAGAACAGGTAATTTCAGGCTGCCATTCGCCTGCGGCTTGCAGACAGATTGCTAGGGTTCAGCGCCTGGGTGCTTCTTAGAACCTGATCTTATCGGAGCGAACACCGAGCGCTGGGCGGCCGAGTTCCGGCTCCCGGAACCGCCCTGGCCCAGGGCTGCGGAGCCTGCGGAGGCTGCTTCTTGGACCCTGCTCCTATCAGAGCAAACACCAAGCACTAAGCAGCTGAATTCCGGCTCCCGGAACTGAGACCGCGGGGACTGCTTCTTGGAGCTTACACTTATAGGAGCTTACACCGAGCACGGAGCGGCTGAGTTCTGGCTCCCGGAACTTCCCTGGACCGGGGCTAGGAGCCCGCGGAAACTGCGTCTCGGTCCGGGTCCTGCTGAGGGCCGGTCAGGTCTCACCCGTTGCTTTGGTTGCCCGGCAAGGGGAACGAAATGCTGCCATTCGCATAGGATACCAACATGGCAGAGATCTGATGTCAGCAGAAAGCGGCAGAGGAAAGAACTTCAACAATACCAGCGGTGACATAAGCAGTTGGTCACCTGGTGGGGGGGTGAGGCACAGTCACCCGAGTCTCCTCAATTTGTCCTCGAGCCAGAGGGGAGGAGCCGGGCCGCCGCCAGCGCCCGGAGCAGGCCCAGCGGCTCGCCAGCATGGTGACCGCGTGACCCCAATTGGAGAGGGGGCGGAGCGGAGCCGCCACCCGCACCCGCAAGGTGAGCAGACCCGCGACCCAGTGGTACATGGGCGTGGTAGGAGGGGCAGGGCAGAGACGCCCTTCGCGCTTGCAAGGTAAACAGACCTGTGACAGCCTGGCGGGTCAGGCCCAGTGGCCTGCCAGTGTGGTACACACGTCACCCCAACTGGAGTAGGGGCAGAGCAGATCCTTCTCCCACGACCGGATCAGGCCCTGCCGGTGTGGTGGTCACGTGACCCCAATTGGAGTGGGGGCGGAGCGGAACCGCCACCCGTGCCCGCAGGGTGAGCAGACCTGTGACCAACCTGCAGATCAGGCCCAGGGGTCCGCAGGCGTGGTAGGAGGGGCAGGGCAGATCCGCCGCCTGCGCCTCCAAGGTAGGCAGACCTACAACAGACCAGTGGATCAGGCCCAGGAGCCTGCCGGCATGGTACAAACACCACCCTAATTGGAGTAGTGACAGAGCAGAGTCGCCGCCCGTGCCAGGAACAGGCCCAGCGTCCTGCAGGCGGGGTAGTCAGACACCCCAATTGGAGTAGGGGCAGAGCAGAGCCTCCACGGGTGCCCGAAAGGTGGGCAGATCTGCGACCGACCAGCGGGACAGGCCCAGTGGCCTGCCAGTACGACAGACACGTCACCCCATTTGGAGTAGGGGCAGAGTAGAGCCGCCGCCCGCGCCTGCAGGGTAGGCAAACCTGCAACCGACCGGCGGACCAGGCCCGGTGGCCTGCCGGCGTGGTACACTCGTCACCCCAATTGGAGTAGGGGCAGAACAGAGCCGCCGCCAGCTCCCAGAACAGGCCCAGTGACCTGCCGGCGTGGTAGCCACGACACCCCAATTGGAATAAGGAGAGAGCAGAGCCGCCGCCCGCACCTGCAGGAAAGATACGCAAGCAGTATGAAAAGACAAGGAAAGAAAGGATCACAAGCAATGCAGG